TCTGAAACAGACAGTTGCCACGGGTCAAGGGGGCGTCACAAACTAATAAACTATTTCAGGAATATGTTTTATTTTATGTTGTGAAACATATTGCAAAAGCGACTGATCTGTTAAAAGAGTAAGTTTTGCTTCTACTCATTCATCCTCCCAGTTGTCCCCTGACCCTTTACACACGTTTTGAATGAACTCTGATTTGTGTAATTTTTTATTGTGCTATATTACAGATACAACGACTGCTACAACCACTGTTGCTACAACAACTACTGCTTCCGTCACAACAACTGCAACGTAACCAGCACTGCTGCTGCCACAACAGTTGCGGAAACAACAACTGCTGAAACAACACCGACTAACGTAACCCCCGCTCCTGCTGCCACAACAACTGCTGAAGCAACACCGACTAACGTAACCACCTGCTGCCACAACAACTGCTGCCACAAGAAATGCTGAAACAACACCGACTAACGTAACCACCGCTCCTGCTGCCACAACAACTGCTGAAGCAACACCGACTAACGTAACCACCGCTCCTGCTGCCACAACCCTTGCTGAAACAACACCGAGTAACGTAACCACCGCTCCTGCTGCCACAACCACTGCTGAAACAACACCGAGTAACGTAACCACCGCTCCTGCTGCCACAACCACTGCTGAAGCAACACCGAGTAACGTAAGCACCACTCCTGCTGCCACAACCACTGCTGAAGCAACACCGACTAACGTAACCACTACTCCTGCTGCCACAACAACTGCTGAAACAACACCGAGTAACGTAACCACCGCTCCTGCTGCCACAACCACTGCTGAAACAACACCGAGTAACGTAACCACCACTTCTGCTGCTACAACAACTGGTGCATCTAGTATGTCAATCAAAACAGTTGTCATCGTTTTTCTCTCCTGCCTTTTTCGAACTCATGACATCTCGGTATGAATCCGTAATCTGTGAAATATATTTTTCAGTCAGTCTTCATACTTTTTGAAATAGAAATAACTTCGAGGATGTAAAATGCAAACTTGGATTACACTGTGCGACATATTCTAGGATTCATATCACCAATCGTCTAAGAGGTTAAGTTGCCTCAATCATGTCCTCTATGAGATCCTCAGTCACTTGCCATTTGAGTGACGTGACACACAAGTTCATCGATGTACAAGAGAAAGCAGTTGGTAGCATGTCCCAAGCTGGAAAACGATTTGGGTGTGTTCAGTAGCTCGCACTCATTTACACAATGTCTTCATCTAGACTTTTGATTCATCATAACACTGATACTTTGCAATATGAACAAGTAGAATAAAGATGACGCCACATTTTAACTGTGTTCAAATATTATTTGTCATGGCAGAGGATACCAGAAATGTGGATGCCCACATTGTGACCATGTGGAGATTTGAACCGGGGATTTTGGCGTGACGAGCGAACGCCCTAATCTCAATGCTACCCACGGATTCAAGACTTTTTCACTTTTCACAGTCAAATATAAGACCAAACATTACCCTTTAGGTCATGGATATTAGGGAAATTTATATGAGTTCTTCCCACTTCATCTTTTTCTTCTTCAAATGCATGGTCAACATTGCAATGAATTTTCATTGAAATTATTTCTACGTGATTTCTGTTTGTAAAATAATTATCATAAAACTCTCATACGTCTTTGTTTCTGTTTGTTTGGTCCTGTGAACGCGGTGATAACTTTCTTTTGCCCGGTAGTGTAGTTGTAGCTACAGTGGTTGGAGTAGCCGATGATGTATCCATGTGTGTGATGGCCAGTCCCGGCGGGTGTGTTCGTTTCTGGTGACGGATGTTATACAGCTGTAAACGACAGTGCCGTTCACGATGGTATAACAAACGATAGCAGCTGAAATGGAATAATATTGCGTATATCTGCTTCTCCGTATTAAATTTCAGTAAGTTCGAAAATACTAATCCTACCAGTATCGCCAAACAGTATTTTCTGCATACATGGAATAAAGATTTGATCGTTGATGTAAGCACACAGACACCTGCCAACAAGATCCATGAATAGTTCGTTTCCATGTCTATCATAAGAACTTAACGGCAATTATTCAGATATTCGTTTATAGTTTCTACATGTTGATGTCAGTGTGACTTGGGTGAGTTTCTGAAATTCGCTTTGCGAAAATGTAGATAAGATGCCATTCGACCACACATGAAACACCTGTCAAACATATAGTAACAGTCTATGACATTAATAGACAAACGAAAACAGAAAAAGATAATAGATACAGGTTAACATGTTGACGAATTATACCCCACCACACACATGCCCTTTCAATAAATAAATCAAAGAAATAATAAATTGTATTATTGTTATTATTATGTTAGTACATCACAGTTACAAGTTAATACACTATTTCATTTCATTAAATGTATGCAAATATCTAAAATACAGACATATATACAACTCTACCACAGAATGAATGAATAAATGAACGAATGAAAAGCATTACCCTACATTCGTGAAATAGATATCATTGAACATTCTAAACTTTATCCTTGGTCCATTCAAAATTTCTTGGGCCCCTTGGACACACAATGATATCATGCCAGTCACGAACAAGACGGCTGATAAAGACAACTTACCATGGCACTTTGATTAGCAGGGAAAGAGTCATGTTGAAGGGTCACAGCAGATTCTTGACGGTATCAACCCGGAAGACGTTACTTGTAGTCAACGTCGTCAGGTGGTAGGCAAACATCGGTGACGTAGATGGGTTTTGTTCCATCCACTCCGCCACCATCTGTGTCAACAGCACCTCAAGCTTCCTCGCCGACTGCGTCCTTCGATGTATAGAATCCCCTGGCAGCCAACACATACCGTCTTTATATAGGTAGTTTAGACTTTCTTATCTATACAATACCTTGAGAACAATTGAATGCAATAGGAGCTGCAAACAGTTCAAAGGAACACTCCTGACAGGAGGAGCGTGAGTGTGTGTTCGTGCAGGGGCTGAATGTATTAGAATTGGCAGTGTTTTCTGGTAATACGAAAATAATAACAATGACCATTCAGTAAAGCGCCTGTTTCCACACACTTGTGCATGCTGAAAGGGTTAACGCATTATTAACAGTCATATGACTTATTCCACCGGGTACCCATTCACTGCTGGGTGAACAGAGACAAGTTTGAACAAAGTCACATGCCCAAGGTGAGACCGAATGTGCCACGAGTGCTTCGTTGTGGGGCAGAGACTAGATTTTCGAAGCTCTCTTAGCGCTAAGATAGTCGTAAGTGCCATACATTAACATTACCTTACGACTATCTTAGCGCTAAGAGAGCTTCAAAAATCTAGGCCCAGGACTGAAGTCCTAGAAAACTCCCAGGAGACACGCTGCCAAACACGGTCACGGTCACCAAGGACTGTCCATGATCAACGTTTCTTAACTTCAACTGATGTTTGACCTGGGCTCTATGTACAGGGCCACACACCACCACTAATGTTCTAATGGCTTAATTTTTTTACTTACTTGCTTATTTAATCAAGGGTAGTGTGTAGTGTTAGACATCCCCTTCATTGGACTGTAGGTGAGTGCATGGATATTGTTTTTCGCTGCTGTCTACCCGTAAGGTCCTTGTTAGAATTGATCTTCAACAACCCATCCTTGTAGTAAAAGGCGACTGACGGGGTCGGGTGGTCATACCAGAAGACTTAGCTGACACATGTCATCGTATCTCAGTGGCGTGACCAAGTGATCCAATCCAATTTTGATCCTTTTTTGTTGTGCCATATACGGCAATATCATGTAGGCAGAACATGGATTTGGCGACCGACATAGAAATATGTACATGTATGTGTGTTAACTGTGCTAAGCAGATGTATTTTATTTAGCAAAGGGAGGTCTTTCTGTGTTCAAAGGGGATTGTGTTATGTGACAGTGTTTGAAGACATTGTAGAACAGTATTGTATTTGCATTACATTTTTCTGTTAAGATTCATTGGAGAGCACACTTGTGCTGGTTACTATATCAACACTGGAAGACCAAGACAAGTCTGGAAATCTTATGCCTTCACTATTCCAGTGTAGTCGAATCCAGAGTTAGATAATGTTGTGGAAACTTTTGTTAAATTATAAAGGGGCAGCTCTTGTCTGTCATCTCACACAACCTCTCAAGTGTCAAGAAGATCAGCAGTTTTGTGAAGATCACTGTTCACCCTGGATACTCAGCCTGGGCCTGTTTTTGAACCGTGACCATTGTTGCAGCGAGGTTAATATTATCAACAGTCTCTTTATCATTATAATGGCTCTGTTTATATCATATTAGGCCAGAACAATTTTATTTCTTGAAATACAGATCAGCCGTTCGTATTGTTTCAAGAATAAGAAAACAATTCATCCCTCAAGAAATAAACGCTACTGTTTTTACTGGCCCAAAATGTAAACTTTCAAGATATTTTTTAGATTTGTTCTTGTCCCATCTACACTTAATAAATTGTCAAAAGTAAAACACTTTTAATATTTATAATGAATTTTACTTTGACTGGTGATTTTTATTTCTCTCCTACCTTTAGGGTTTCTGAGGACAAAAATCCGTAAAACTAGTAATTAAATTGGTCTGGCCTGACCAACTTTATTTGTAATACCACTCTATCTTGTACTGCCTTTGTTGTGATGTGCATTGATTTGTAAACGTAGTCAATTTTAAAAACACAATTCCTAATTATATCACTTCTCTTTGGTTGTTCTTTGAGCTTATTTTACGGACTGATCTCAACATATAGTTTCAACTTTCGACAGAAACACGTGACAGATTTATATACCACATGTGTTCATGTTCATTGTGATAGGAACAATACCGGTTTTGAAACAATGCAAGTAAAGATGGCCAGTGACGTCCATGGAGATGTTGTTGATACAGATGGTGACGGAGTAGATGGAACAAAACTCATCCACGTCACTGATGTTTGCCTACCATCTGACGTTGACTATAAGTAGCTCGGTGATAGCAGCCCTCAAGAAGTCTTCACTGAACTTCCAGCATGACTTGTCTCCTGCTCCTCACAGCTTTAGCTGTCTTCTGTGGCTCCTGTCAAGGTAAGCTGTCTCCATGGAATATCTCTACCTGGAACATGCAAAATACATTTGATGTCCTGAGGCCGTAAGGAAATAATTTGACATGATCCGCAGAAAAATGTTTCTCTCCGTGGTACATACCTCTTACTCTTTTAATGTAATGTTCTTATTTAATTTTCAAAATATTTCATATAATTTTTGTATTAATGATCATTATCATTATTATTTGTTTTGGGGAGGTCGAGGGAGTATTTCACGCTATCTTTATCCGCATTGGGATCAGTATCAATGCCTCAGACAAAATGATTATATGTTTCCCATAAGGTTGGCATGTAATGATTTGCCTACTAATATAATTGTTAGTCACAGTTCAACAGCATACGGGGTACCCTAGAGGTTAAACGCCGAGTCGATTCCCCACTTGGGTACAAAGAATATAGAGAATACTACACGAGGTTTAATTAAATACGAGCGAAAGCGAGGTCAGAAACCATAGGAAGGTCACGAGTTTCGTATAATTCGTATGTAGTGAGACCGGGTGTGGTATTTTATTTATTACCCACGTCCTACATGCATTACATTGACAAAATAACGTATTTTTGTTATTTTTATAGTTATAAACCGAAATCAGGTTTCATAAAAAGTTTGCGGAAGAATTTTGTTCTGTAGTACACTTTTTGCATGACGTCACACTGTATTGATGTCACTATGCCATTCTCGTCTGCTCCCCTTGGTAACCGACGTCACGATGCATGTTGGTTGTCATCGCCTCGTACAGCCTCATACATTAAACTACCCAGTATCACCCTCTTTCTTGGTTTACAGTTGCTTCACTCCCCTAACATCACTGGTGGAAACATTGCGTTTATGTTTTTCGACGGATATAATGTCTCAGTTCGACTCACAATTAAACAGCAATGCATATAAGTTGTGGAATGAATGAATTCACGTGTTTGTTATTAATAAAAAGTAGTTCCGTCACAACGTGAGAGGTCATCGGTTATCCAATCAAATCGGTAGAATTTGAGGTCAAGTCGTTACGACACAGGTCAACGCAATACAACACTCGTGTGACGTACGAGATTAGTATGCAACTACCCATACGTTGACCACGTGGGTAATAAGAAGCCCACATCTAGTGTCCCGTGCCGTGATATTGCTGGAACATTTCTAGAAGCATCATAAGACCATACTCATTAAACATGCTCATATAGCTGGAGTACCCTATCATTGTCATAAACAAACAAATCCCAGCACAAAACCTACTCGCCCACATTGTCAACAAGTTTAGATTGTCACTTTTAGCGACTCTATCTAATCAGATTGGCATCAATGGGAGGAAACACACAACGAATATGTGTTTTAGATCCATCATATTCGTTTGATTGTATATATAATGTGAAATTTGATTAAACGTAACTCTAACAATTATAGCATACCACTTAATCGCTATTCTACATGACTTAAGGGAAACATTCTTGACACTCGGTACTTGGTATCACCACCAAATGCAAGTGCATTTACAGCAGGCACAGAACATTAAAATTGACATTTGTGCTTCTTTGTGGCGGGGCAAATATTTTCATTATACAGTTATCAAAAATATATGTATGGAACCTAGTACAAACTTACAGATATGCTGCTAATTGAATTTCAGCTGCTACCGATTGTTACACAATTGTCGGCCGTACTGCCGTCTACAGTGGTACAACGTCCGTCACAACAAACAACCACACCTGCCAGGACTGGTCATCGCAGTCTCCAAACACACACGGCTACATCGACAGCTACTTCACCATCACCAACGGAGACGCCGGTCCTGGCCATGCAGGTGCTTCCAACTACTGCCGAGATCCTTGGGGAGGTAGCAAGAGAGTTTCCGGTTATCTGTGGTGTTACGTTGCTAGTGGCAATCCAAGATGGGAGAAATGTGACGTTCCCAAATGTCCTGACACCACCACTGCTGCTGCAACAACCACCTCTTCCGTAACAACCACTGCTTCCACTACAACTGCTTCCGTAACAACCACTGCCGCCGCTACAACTGCTTCTGCAACTACTGCTGCCGCAACAACAACTGCTTCTGCAACCACAACCGCTGCCGTGACCACCACTGCTTCTGCAACCACAACGGCTGCTGCTGCTACAACTGGCGCATCTGGTAAACCAACTTCTTATCTCGGTTTGAAATTTCCATTTCTATCCTGAATTTTTCGAAACCTGTACCTTCATGTTCCACAATGTCTTCAGCTTTACCATTGATTCATCATAACACTGATTCTTTGCGAGTAAGAAAAAAAGCATAACTGCATAATTTCTCTGTGTTCAAATATTGTGCCGTGTTTCTCAGACAGGAAGTCTTGATCTGTTTATGAAGGACTATCTGTGAAAAGATCCTATTTTAAAATGCCCGTAACTATGAACCAAGCTATGAACAAATATCTGATGCCCAAAGCAAGTCAGTTCTTATTTGATACATGAACCGTATAGCTATTTGTCAAGAATACATTTAACAAACAATAATCTACTCATACGTATTGAAGGAATTGATTTTGTTTCCATTCCCAGAAACTATGCTTTGCACTTTGGGGGTAGACACACAACACAAAATGTGACTACTTTGTTCTTTTTTATGCACTTTTTAAAGAAATAACTGTCATTTGCAGCAGCGGATTGCTACACAATTGTCGGCCGTACTGCCGTCTACAGTGGTACAACGTCCGTCACAACAAACAACCACACCTGCCAGGACTGGTCATCGCAGTCTCCAAACAGACACGGCTACATCGACAGCTATTTCACCATCACCAACGGAGACGCCGGTCCTGGCCATGCAGGTGCTTCCAACTACTGCCGAGATCCTTGGGGAGGTAGCAAGAGACCTTCCGGTTATCTGTGGTGTTACGTTGCTAGTGGCAATCCAAGATGGGAGAGATGTGACGTTCCCAAATGCCCTGACACCACCACTGCTGCTGCAACAACTGCTGGCACTACGGCTATTTGAACTACAACAACCCCTGCCACACCAACATCTTCAACGGTTAGATCAGAGATGTTTAAAAGAATCCAAGGTGAAGAGTGATGATCAAAGCACCTTTTGACATTTGACCATTCTCATAAAGTAATTACTCTAAATGAAAAGGTGTTTGTCATAAAAATAAACATACAAAATGAAAACATGTCTACGTTTGTAGTATTGGAAGATTGGCACTGATGCACGCACGTTGGCACACACGCACACACGCACACACACACACACACACACACACACACACACACACACACACACACACACACACACACACACACACACCATGTTTGTAACTGATGGATCCGACAGGACATGTCATCATGTTTGTTGCTGTCACCACAATTACAGCATATGTAGAAATGTGCTGAACGTGTTTACCATAAAAAGTGTTGACAGCAAAAGGCGTTTGATGACACTCTGCACAATCTTCGTGGAAAAGGTCTGCTTTTACTGGTACCTCAAACGGTGTGAAATGGAATCATATGATCAATAATTGGTATAACATTACTGAGTGTGTGAGTATGGTTTGACGCCATGTTTAGCAATCTTCCAGCATTGTGAGGGTGGAGGATCACAAAAATGGGCTGCGCAGATTGTAACCATGTGGAGACTTGAACTCGGGCTTTTGGTGTGACGAGCGAACACCCTAACCTCAAAGCTACCACTGATTCAATATGTTTGACTTGTCACAATCAAAAATAACGATTGACCATTGCCCTTCAGGTCATAGATATTAAGGAAGTTTATTTAAGTTTTTCTCACTTCAACTTTTTCTTCGTTTTGATTAGCGTCATTACATGTTTGGTTTCGTTGTCTTCAAAGACGTCAATATGCGCGTGATGTCATCTAAACAATTCATTGTTCACTTAAAATTGATCTAAATAAACGGGTTTCCATTTTCCGTTCAGGAACACATTTTCACACTAAACCCCAACATTTTATGGTACGACATTATTGCACCCGACCTCAAACAATCATTACATCCTCGTCACTTATATTCTGTGCAATGCTATTCCCATTAGTATCAATTAAGACATATAAATAAAATATGGACAAATACAGAATGCCCAAACTAGTGTCATGTCATGCCAAAAGGACATAATCAGCTTTGAAACTTTCAAATGCATTAAGACAAAAGACGATCTGGAAAATAAACATCCAAGGGCTGGTAACAATGACAGCTTGGATAACCATTACAAAAGGTGACATGTTGCCGTCCATGAAGATGCTGTTGACACAAATGGGAGTGAAGTTGTTGGTGGAAAACAATCAACGTCACCGATGTTGTTCGGAGGTGGATAAAAACTGCCCCATCGGGGTGTTGATAAACTATCCAAATAACTGATGAAACTGTTGTCTTTGGAAGGTTGAAGAAGATGCAACTGTTATGGAATGGCCTCAGTCCTTGGAGTAAAAACGGAACTTACATCAGTTAATCATAGTGATAAAGTATCACTATGTGCGAAGCTGCAGTTGACAACTTGTCTCCATTCTTTAAGCCATCACTAATTGCACATACTAAGATATTGGGATATTGATGTTTAATACCTAGGAAGGCATGTTGATATGAGAAGGAGTTAGTATAAACCTTTTTTCTTCAAATTTGTAAATTTGCATTTTTAATGTGCTTTGAAGATGTGATAGAATGATCAGTGTTTTTTTTCATGTAAGGTCTGACGAGAAAGTTTGGAAAGTATTAAATGCTGGATTGGATGGTTTGCAATGGAGTTAAGACACATACTACAATGTTTTGCCTTCTGATACCGCGATACGATTGATTAGCTTATGAATAATAAAGACGGGGTAACAGCAACATGCGTGTTAAACGTACTGCCACTGCCTGAAGGTTCGTACTTCACGAAAAAGGAGTGTGTAGTGTCTCTTGTGTAACAATTGGCGAGCCTCTGGATGCCTTGGCGCTAATGGTTTAGGATAGGAATGAATGAATGAATGAATGAATGAATGAATGAATGAATGGAAGGATGGACGAATGGAATAATTTGATTGAATAAATTCCTGAAAGCTGAAAGATATTGGATTTTGAGTTTAATCTAATCAAAACGTGCACCTCGACAGTTGCGCTAAATCAATGAGTTTATGTTATCGATATAAGGACATGTTTAAGCAAATTCTGGTCCTGGCTTCACTGACCTCAGCCACCAAACTTCCTTCCTCCATCGGAACAGTGGTTCAAACAACGGCAAAGGGGTCGGGTCGCCCAGTGAAGTCGGCCTTTACGAGAACGATCTTGATTCTGGGGATACATGTAACCCAGTCTCGTTGATGAGATCGAATTTCCAACACAAATTTAATATACAACAAACGAATATTTTAATACTTATGGGAACATTTTATTTTGGAAGGAACGTTTCAGACATACAAAAACGGTGTTGAGAATTTCAGCATTGCGGAATACCACACTTCTCCCATCCAGCACTGGCGGACTTGAAGCACCACAGAAACCCGGCTGGAAGGACGGTGCCACCGGAAGGATCACGGCAGTAGTTTCTGGCCCCGGCGAAACCAGAACCCGGGTCAGCGTTGGTGACGTCGAAGTGGCTAGGTTGGTAGGCGTGGTTGTTTGGGGATTTCTGTTCCCAGTATTGACACACGCTATTACTCAAAGTGACTGACGTTGTTCCTGTGTAGACAGCCGTACCTCCTTGGAGGGTGTAGCAGTCGGCTGAAAGGAACAGTGGCGGATGACGTCACAAGCTAATTAATTACATCATTATTATGTTTTTAGCTCATGTTGTGAACCGAATTACCAAAGTCGTCTTCTTGTTCAGTCATTTTTAAATTTATTTTTCATGCAGTCATACCTCCTCCTAGGTTCAATCAAACTTTGATTTTGCCTTTGGATATGGGTCAGCTAATTTACATCAATTGGCCGTGCAGAGTTGGTTCCCTTACACCTGCCAGGAAACTACATGTTTGATCGTAGGTTAGGATCTCGCATCACCCTCATATTGTGTCAGGTAAATTGTCTTGTGGATATGGCACAGATAATGTACATCAAATTGGACGTGCAGAGTTAATAATAATAATAATAATAATAATAATAATAATAATAGTAATAATGTGTCCATTTATACAGCGCCAAACTCCACACCAGGTGTGCTCATAGCGCTAACAATCAATAAGGCATTATTGAAGTCCATAGAACTTTTTGTAGAGAAAGGTTTTGAGGTGACGCTTAAAGTTTTCAAGGGTTGGAGACAGCTTAAGGTCATCAGGGAGAGAATTCCAACTGACCGATGCCATGTTCTGGTAAGACTTGTAGCCAAATGATTTGAGGTTCCACTTTGGTACACAGAGCAGATTAGATGAGGATGAAATCAGAGTTCTTGTTGGTGGGAGTTGCCTCCCTTCACCCTGTTATTGTTTCTAGGTTTGTTCAACAATCTTTAGAGAGACGGTTTGGTATATCTTTACCCCCAAGAAAACTAATTCCTGCACTTCAAAGTAAAGATTGAGTAAAGATTTTCCGACGTAAAACGAAAGTATGCCATGGTGTGCCATGGAAACTACATAGAAATGGCTGCAAAAAGGCTATACTTAAGGGGAATTGAAATCGGGTTTTCGGACTGACGAGGGATACGATTAATCACTTGGCTGTCCAAGTCAGAATAACATGAAAAATTAGGAGTATATATAGGGTCATGTCAGAGGTAACCAAAGGTCGTTTTGATGCAAGGGAGTGCAAATCTGAACAGATGTGATATCTGGCCCAAGTCGCCCTAATACTATATCACCACCACTATCATGTGTTAATATATCATACACCTATAATGTGTTAATATATCATACATACGTTTTGGGGTCGTCACAGATCCACTGACGGTGGAACAGTCGGGGACGTTACAGTTCTCGTAGCCACCACTCGTCACAAAACACCACAGAGAGCCTAAAGGGGATACAGGTCCACCTGAAGGGTCGCGGCAGTAGTTCTGGGCGCCGTTGTAGCCGGGCCCAGCCGCCCCGTTGGTTGTGTCGAAGTAACTCGAGAAATATGAGTGTTGGTTCGGGGTCTGGGATGACCATTGTTGACAAGTTTTGCCAGTATTGGACACACTGGCTGTGCCGCTGTAGACCGCTGTGCCTCCTTGACGGTTGAAACATCCAAAACCTAAAACGACGACGATAACGACGATGATAATGATGATGAAAACGATGATGATAATGATGATCAGTGTCATCAATGCAATAGAGGAAAACTCATGGCAGTACCACCCATATCATGTGTCAGTACCATCCGTGTACGTACCACTCATGACAGTACCTTATGTTCCTTTAACAGCCTTTCAAGTACCACCCGTGTAGACACATTCCGTGCCAGTACTACCCATGCAAGTACCAGTCGTACCTCACAATATGCCAGTACCACCCTCACATATCTCCAGAACTTGTACTTGCGCGCGCCAACTTGCGATATGCGAAACGGGGCCAGCTTACTTCTGGTGCCAGCTTTCCGATGACAGGCGTATATTGAAGAACCAGGGCCTATATTTTCGAAGCTCTCTTAGCGCTAAGATAGTGATAAGTTAATGTTAATGCATGACACTAACGACTATCTTAGCGCTAAGAGAGCTTCGAAAATCTAGGCCCAGTTTTGGTTCCAAATTGCACGACCACCAAATATGACTTTACTAGACCGGACCAAGTGTACAACCATGCTTGGCTGTCATAGCTGTTGACAGTCGTAATAGTTGGCTAAGTTGATGATGGTTAGATCGGACATTTGTTATTCCTGCAAGGATTATCGGCTCCTTACTGTCAACTGACAACCATGAGACCATTCGAAAAGGTATGAAATGTTGTTTGTCACCGGAAGTACTAAGGTCTCGCGAAGTGCCGTGGCCTAGTTACGGGCCATATACTTCTGTCAACCAACAATCTAGTAACGCCCTCTGCTATCTGTACCTTTCTCCCGTCCCAGCACCATCAATACCAAAACTGACATTTCTACCATATGTGTCCATACCTCCAGCAGCAATTGCTGCTGTGACCGCATTGCCTGTGCCAGTACCGCCTGTGCCAGTACCACCTGGGCCAGTACCACCTGTGCCTGGTCCACCGCTACACAGGGGAACAGGGGTGCATCTTGCCCAGACTCCACTGGGGACGAAACACCACAGAAACCCTGCAGGAGATACAGGTCCACCTGAAGGGTCGCGGCAGTAGTTGCTGGCGCCGCTGTAGCCGGAGCCAGATCCCCCGTTGGTTATGTCGAAGTAACTCGAGTAGTATGAGTGTTGGTTGGGGGTCTGGGATGACCACTGCTGACACGTCTGACCATCCACCGACACATCTGCTGTACCGCTGTAGACAGCCGTGCCGCTTTGAAGGAAGTAGCAACCTAAATCTGCAATGGTGATGAGTGAGTGAGTGAGTGAGTGATCTTAGTTTTACGCCGCACATTTTCAAGATATATGGAGGCGGTCTGTAAATAACCAGACAATCCAGTGATCAACAGCATGAGCATCGATCTACGCAATTAGAATTGAAGAAGATGCAAGTTTGGATGCAAACACCCAGGACCCAGATGATACTGTCCTTATCAGTATCTTATATCATTGTTTATAACATTAGATACAGCCATGCATTGGGATTCCAACATACATGTATATGATGATAAAGCTGAAGAACCGTGGAAGGAGTGGGTGTCTGGGTTAGACTTGGCGTAGAAGGGTTGGCTGGTTGGGTTGTTGTTTAACGCCGCACTCAGCAATATTTCAGCTATGTGGCGGCGGTCCGTATTTAATCGAGTTTGGACAATCCAGTGATCAACAGCATGAGCATCGATTTACACAATTGGTGTAGAAGGGTATGAGGTAAGTTGTAGATTGATAGAGTAGATGTTGCAGAGAGAGACATACGACATTCGACAGTCGGGTTTGGTTGGAAAGGCAGGGGTAGATAGCGACGTTAAGAGAAACTTACCTTTAGTTGTAGTAGGTGTTGTCGTTGTAGTGGTTGTAGTAGTAGTTGTTGTTGTTGTGGTAGTGGTTGTAGTTGTAGTAGTAGGAGTTGTGGTTGTAGTTGGTGTTGTAGTAGTTGTAGCTTCGGTAGTTGTAGTTGGTGTTGTGGTTGTAGTTGATGTTGTTGTAGTAGTAGTAGGTTCGGTGGTCGTAGTTGGTGTTGTTGTAGTAGTCGGTGTTGTAGTAGTAGTAGCTTCGGTGGTCGTAGTTGGTGTTGTAGTAGTAGGTTCGGTGGTCGTAGTTGGTGTTGTGGTCGTAGTCGGTGTAGTAGTAGTTGGTGTGGTAGTCGTAGTTGGTGTTGTAGTCGTAGTCGGTGTGGTAGTAGTAGTTGGTGTTGTAGTTGTAGTTGGGTGTTGTAGTTGTAGTTGGTGTTGTAGTCGTAGTTGGTGTTGTAGTAGTAGTTGGTGTTGTAGTAGTTGGCGTTGTAGTCGTAGTCGGTGTTGTAGTAGTAGTTGGTGTTGTAGTGGTAGTTGTGGTTGTAGTCGTAGTCGGTGTTGTAGTAGTTGTTGTAGTAGTAGTTGTCGTTGTCGTAGTCGTCGTTGTAGTTGTCGTAGTCGTCGTTGTCGTGGTTGTCAAAGCACAATTAGGAATATCGCATCTCCCCCATCCAGGCCCTGTGCTGTAGAAACACCAAAGGTACCCAGCAGGTCTAACGCTTCCCGCGGCAGGGTCACGGCAGTAGTTGTTGGCGCCTTCGTAGCCTGCGGCGGCGTCTCCGTTAGCCACGTCGAAAAAGTAAGAGTAATAAGAATGAGGATTGGGAGACAATGTACTCCACGTTTGGCAGGGTATGTTCCCTATTGACACCGAGGTGCTTCCACTGTACACGGCCTGACCTCCTTGTAGATTGAAACATTCGGCAGCACCTGAAACTGTGTTCATTCAATTGTGAGTGAGTGAGTGAGTTTAGTTTTACGCCGCTTTTAGCAATATTCCAGCAATATCACGGCGGGGGACACCAGAAATGGGCTTCACACATTGAATCGGACCCGGGTTTTATTTTAGGCGTGACGAGCCACCCCACCGCCCCCGAATGAATGAATGAATGAATGAATGAATGAATAGCCGTGACGTGTTGGACTTACCTACGGGTGCTGAGCACTTTGGAACGTTGCAAGCTCCCCAACCCGCGCCATCGGCATAGTAACACCACAAATAGCCGCTGGCAGAGATGGAACCCCCTGAAGGGTCGCGGCAGTAGTTTGAAGCACCCGCGTAGCCGGGTAAGTTGTTACCGTTGGTGACGGAAAAGTACGATTCATAATACGGGTGGTTGTTTGGAAAGGTATTTTGCCAGGCCTGACACGGCCGCCCCGATGCTGTGGAAGACTGTGTTCCACTGTACACGGCTATTGATCCTTGCAGTGTGTAGCACGAAGTGTTACCTGTGAAACACATAAAATGTAATCATTATACATGCATTATACGACCGCATCGGTCATTTAGGTGCCCAAATGTACGGTTTGTTTGATGTTTCACACCTACCTCAACAATATTCCAGCCGTATGACGTGGATTTGTAAATAATCGAATCTGGACCAGACGATCCAGTGATTAACACCATGAGCACCGATCAACGCAATTGGTATACGACGACATGTGTTAGCATATGTACATGTCCGATAGTGGGATAGATTACCTGTGCATGACCGACCGCAGTATGATCATACCTGTACATGTCACTTTACAGTATGAGGACACTTATATATGCCACGTGATAGTTTGATAACACTTTGATAACAGGATGATAACCCTTATCAATGTCATTTCACAGAATAACAAAACTTTTACATGTCAGTTCTCAGGATAACACACGTCAGTTCGTAAATGATAATACTTGTTCATGTCACTTGACAGAATGGTAATACTTGTTCATGTCACTTGACAGAATAATAATACTTGTTCATGTCACTTGACAGAATAATAATACTTGTTCATGTCACTTGACAGAATAATAATACTTGTTCATGTCACTTGACAGAATGGTAATACTTGTTTGTCACTTGACAGAATGATAATACTTGTTTGTCACCTGACAGAATGATAATACAGAATGATAATACTTGTTCATGTCACTTGACAAAATGATAATACTTGTTCATGTTACTTGACAGAATGATAATACTTGTTTGTCACCTGACAGAATGATAATACATAATGATAATACTTGTTTGTCACCTGACAGAATGATAATACAGAATGATAATACTTGTTCATGTCACTTGACAGAATGATAATACTTGTTCATGTTACTTGACAGAATGATAATACTTGTTTGTCACCTGACAGAATGATAATACATAATAATAATACTTGTTTGTCACCTGACAGAATGATAATACAGAATGATAATACTTGTTCATGCCACTTGGCAGAATGATAATACTTGTTTGTCACTTGACAGAATGGTAACAACATCAGTCACGTTCCGATCGCAATCCTGATAAATGGACGTTCCAGATGATGCGATGCCCATGTAGTATCTGATAATAATCAATGAATACACACTATTACTGTTAAACTTTAAATACTCCCGCTATGGATGTAACCCGTGCTCGTAGATTTTACCAACGAGGTAAAGGCCTCGGACTTATATCACTTAAGTCGTTCCTGATGACTTTGATCACTGGATTGTCTGGTCCAGACTCGACTATTTACACACCACCGCCATATAACAGCTGTATTGCTGAGTGCGGCGTTAAATAAAAGATCCCAACCAAGCATAAAAAAACAACCAACCTGCCCTTACAACATTCCAGCTGGATTGCTGTATTATCATTAAAATACTATTGGAAAACGGTTGAAAAACCGATTTTTGCCTGTTAGTAGTCCGTAGACATCAAAGACATTTCCAAATTTCCCCCATAATAATTAATGTCAAGTTCAATGACCTTTTTGCACTTGTACCATATGTGATTGTATTTCTTCCGGCGGACAATTTACTTGCCATGCATATTTACCGTGATTGCAATGAGAAAGATCGTTTCGTCTCACCTTGTACTGTCGCCGTCATCATCAACAGCATCAGCAGAACGACATCCTCTACAGCACGCATGGTGAGAGACAACTCTACCACTGCCAGATATGTTCTCCTTAACGCCGATATCTACTACACTGCTTATACAATTTGACACCTTGATTCCTTGGTGCTCAACGACGCGTTTGGCTCATGGCACTCAATATGACTACATGTACCTTGCTTGGATCAACCTGATATGTATGTTGTGATTTATGTGCTGTTTGTAACTGATCATAAAGGAAAGGGTGTGGGTGTCGATGATATGTACTAACTGTACTCTGCATTATAAATGACTACTTATTCAATAATAGAAACGACAGCTACTAAATACGTCAGATGTTATAGCTGTACGCTTAATTCAATGGCAACGATATATATTTGACAGGCGAGAAATGTTCTACAATAGTAGGTCTTATTGAAAGTAGTGTCATTTCATTGCCAGTGCCTTGGTTGCAGTTTCAAAACACTGTCAGTGTATGGCACGGAGGGTGAACGGGTGTGGGTCGGAGGCATTAATGGGTCAGTGAGTGAGGTTGGTTTTACGCCGCTTATAGCAATAATCCAGCAGTATCACGGCGGGGGATACTGAAATTGGCTTCACACATAGTACCCATGCGGGGAATGAACCCGGATTTTGGCGTGACGAGCGAACGCTTTAACCACTAGGTTACCCACCGCCCCAAGACATTAATGATATTTCCGACGCATATTTTGGCACATCTAGGCTTTAATGTCTGTTCTTTTTATAACTGCAAGAAGTAATGTATCTCCCCTTACAAAGCTGGATCCTGTATCAATCAATTCATCATTATAATTGTATATCCTAGCCTGCCCTACACGTAAATAGGCCGGCGAAGAATTGGTCTTCACTTACCCATGCTTTCGTAAGAGGCGGCTTGCATGATCGGGTGGTCAGGCTCACTGACATGGTTGACACATTATCATATTTAATTTAAATAGTTTTAATAAAAAATATAGTGTCATCAGCAAAACAGTTTACTGATAACGATTTCCACTGTAAAATACAAATGAAAGAGGGCCCAGGACTGAACCTTGGCGAGAACCAGTTATATTTAGGCCATTTAACTACATACATTACAGTGGACACGCAAACATGTCATTGATTTGTAATGGCCGTTCTTTCTTTCCCAGCTTTGGACTCTGTACATTGACCCACCAGACATCCTAAAGAAGCTTTAGAAATATCGATCATATCGTTTAGACCTGCGGAAATGAATGCTATCGAGTGGATTCTATAAATTGTCTGTTTGTACTGTCAATAGATGATAGACTTAACCGGGATTTCCTCAGTTGCTCTGGCTTATAAACAAGACTATTACAGTTCTAAACACCGTGTAATGTTTATTTGGGTTATAGTTGTGAGAAGGGGACAATGCTGAAGGTGCTTCTGACCATTAATTAGAGGTGAACGGTTCAGCCCTTGTTGGCGTTCTGTTATAGACAGACTTTACTTTGCAGTTAACGTCGAGTATTCGGATGTGTTCGTGCGAGTGTTAATGTTGGTGGTACGTCAAATGAGGTGAGGTGAAATTGGGTTTAACGTCGTGCTTGAGAATATTTCGCTCATATGACGACGTGCATGCGTGTGTATGTGTATGTGCGGGTGCTTGTACTAGCCCAGACTTAAGCTGGTTTTATAGTGCTAGCCCACTGAGATACCATGCCGCAGTGAAGCATGACTACCCCACTCAGACACATTATACTGACTCCGAGCCGACCAGTCCTTGTTGTACCCATTAATGCCGAGCGCTAGGCAGGGACCAACAAGTACCATATTTTAACAGTACTGCATGACTACCCCATTCAGACACATTATACTGACTCCGAGCCGACCAGTCCTTGTTGTACCCATTAATGCCGAGCGCTAGGCAGGGACCAACAAGTACCATATTTTAACCCGCGACCTTCCGCTCTCCGGGCGGACGCTCTAACCACTACACCACGGAGGCGGTCACGTCAAATGAAGTTTGACGTCATGTTAAAGCTCATTTCACTCTCGATCGTACAGTAACATGCATGCACGCGTGTGTATGTGTGTGTGTGTGCGCACGCGCGCTCGCCACTGCTTGTGCCGATCTGGACGTTTTTTTTATTGATGAAAAGCACACTGAGATGCAAGGCTAAACTTTAACACGAATACTCACTCAGACATAGGTCCCACTCGATGCCGAGGCAGGGTAATGACAAGTACTGTCTATCTGAATGGTCAGGAGTTTGAACCAACGACTTGCCGCTTTCCAGAAATTCTGTATCCAATAGACCACAGAGGCATGTACATGTGTACATATGCGTGTTAATGCATTTATGTGGGTTCTTTCATGTGCGTATGTGTCATGTATTCATTTCGGAATGAATACTATGTGTTCATTTCCGACGATCATGTGTCGGAATTTTCTTTTGTCTGTTTGTCAACTACCATGTATCAGAATGTCAGTGAGTTTACAGAGACAGTTCACAACCGTGTTTTTGTTGGTCGATCCTTGTTTGAGGTTTTGGCTTAGAGTGGGTGAATTTAATTTTACGCCGCAATATTCCAGCTACATTGCAGCGGTCTGTAAATACTCGAGTCTGCACAAGTCAATCCAGTGATCAACAGCATGAGCATCGATATACGAAATTGGGATATGTGTCAGCGATTCTGACCACCCGATCCCATTAGTCGCCTCTAACGACCAGTTTTTGTAACTGAAGATCAATTCTAACCCTGATCTTCACGGGTCTTTGGCTTAGGAGTCCATAGAGGACGCCATGGGAAAAACTAGAAAAATACTTTTGAATGCGCTAATGTGTAGCCACTGACGTATACACATCAAGAAACCTGACCTTCCCTGTTTGATTAAAGAAATTGATTTATATATACCATTGAATCTTCTGTCCTCATTGACACAATGTGATTGACAACAATCAGGAAAATATTGCACCTCATTTGCGAAATACCACGCTTGCATCCCAAGTAACAAGTTATTGGTCCCCATTATTCAAAGGGAACAAGCGTCCTGAGCTGATGATGATCCTGACCAGCTAAAACTGTACTGGGATCAACCAAACCCTCTTTCACCCCCATTACTACTGCTGCTGCTGCTGCCGAAGAAGAAGCTGAAAAAGACGAAGAAGAAAAAGACTGACTGACTGACTGAGTTTAGTTTTACGCCGCTTTTAGCAATATTCCAGCAATATCACGGCGGGGGACAACAGAAATGGGCTTAACACATTGTGCCCATGTGGGGAATCGAGCCCGGGTCTTCGGCGTGACGAGCCAACGCTTTAACCACTAGGCTTCCCCACCGCCCCAAGAAGAAAAAGAAGAAGAAGAGATGTACAGAAGAATATATTTTGGACCTTGTAAATGACAGGTGACTACAGGTTCATAATTTAGGGACGGGTTGGCAACACAACAGAACTTTTACAACTATTTATTTTTTTTACAGATAATTATATATTCATATACACGACTATAAAGATCAGCACTGACGAATAGCGCATGTCTCCCATCCCATGTCCATCATCCCATTATTCGGCAAGGTAACACCACAGGAAGCCAAAGGGGAGGATGTTCCCCTCTGCATCCACTCTCCAGGCAGACAAATGTCAACCGAGGAAGTACACGAAGAAGTACACATAGATATTGGACAACGCTTGCTGTAGCTCTCACTGCAAACAAGACGTAAGTTAGAATTTATAGGTATTACATATAAACAACCCTGGCCACAATTAACATTGAGTAATGGCGCATGTCTCCCATCCAGAAGAATCGGCAAAATAACACCACAGGTAGCCAAAAGGAAGAATGCTCCCTCCTGAAGGGTCGCGGCAGTAGTTGCTAGCGCCACCGTAGCCGGCGCCTGCGACGCCGTTGGTGGTGTCGAAGTAGCTGGCGATGTAGGCGTGGTTGTTTGGTGACTTGGTCTGCCACGACTGACATGTTTTCCCAGATGCGGTGACGGCCACTGTTCCACTGTAGACGGCCGTGCTTCCTTGTTTGGTAAAACAGGCCCCTGAAAGGAAGTGATATAATTTTTTAAGAGAATAAAAAATGTCTGAACTTTGAGACAACCACAGAAGTAATAAGAAGAGATATTGTGAGAATACGTCAATGTTCGCATACCTAAAAGTATATGTTCTTAACTAAATGATACTTTTTGAATACAAAATTTTACAAATAAACGATATCTGATTGTTGCTCATTCGTAATTACTCGCCTCTTTCCGTGACCTAAAAGAAAACTCGTACCTGTATAGTACGCCATTATTGCCAAGAATCGTGGCAAACCAATCAAATCGCGCGTAGCTAGTTATGAAATAAGGTCAAATATACTGAGTCAAAAAAGAAACTTCACAAAATGTAATTTGAAAAATAATGAATAATTTTCTCTGATGATACATCTATGTATCCGAAATGGGATCCCTATCTTTCGACTCTAGAAAAACGTTAGCAAAACCCACTCAAACCCATCCATTCGTCGTGCAAATGATGTTAGTGCCAAATCAGGTTTTGCACGTGCAGTCGATCACGTGATCTTCGCATCGAAGTTTTCTTCATATGCACGTGTTTGCATTGGCCTCAAGAATTGAAAAAACACTTTTAAACCACAGTTCTAACGGTACATGAAATGCCACGATTGTCAAATGTGCAACGTGAACATGCCGTTGGCATGTTGCAAGCGGGAAGATCAGTTATTGACGTCGCAAGAGCAATGGGATGCAGCCGTCGCACTGTGTATGACTTGCGAGGTCGTCTACAACAAACTGGCACCACTTCTGATCGCCCAAGGTCGGGTCATCCACGTGTGACGTCACGGTGACCGTCAAATCGTCCTACGTCACCTACGTGACAGATTTCTGCCGGCTACACGAACCCGGCTGAGATGTTCAGAGGTCGACTGTCCTCACAGACCATTCGAAATCGGTTGCGGGCTGCCAATCTCTATTCTCGACGTCCATATCGTGGGCCAATATTGACGCCGTTTCATCAACGTCAACGTCTGCTGTGGGCCCAACGTCACCTTCGATGGACCGAGAGAGACTGGAATCGAGTCGTCTTTAGCGATGAATCCAGGTTTACCCTCAGATTCGCGGACGGCAGGCATAGAGTCTGGAGACGACGTCGTGAACGGTATGCCCAATGTTTTGTACAGGAAGTCGACAGATTCGGGGTTGGAAGTTGCATGGTGTGGGGTGCTTTCTGTGGGGACAACCGTTCCCGACTTCTGGTCATCCGTGGGAAACCTCACAGCTGCTGCTTACTGCGACCAGGTGTTCACCCCCTGAACTCGTTCCTTTCATGGCGGCTCATGGTCCAGGTCTACACTTCCAGCAAGATAATGCTCGGCCGCATACCGCGATGTTGACACGAAATTTCCTTCAAAACGCTGGAATCAACGTCATGGACTGGCCATCGAGGTCCCCTGACCTTAATCCAATAGAGCACGTTTGGGATGCACTTGGGAGAAGGCTTCGTGGTCTTAGGAACCAACCTCAGAATTTGCAGGAACTTGGCGCTGCCTTGCAAAAGCAATGGCGCAGAATCCCCAACCACGTGTTCACAAGCATCAGGCAGTCGATGAGGAGACGGTGTTTGGCAGTGGTGAATGCGCGGGGCGGCCATACACGATATTGAACTGAGAAATTTCGCATTTTTATTCTTGTGACTTGACATTCTGTATACCCATGTTTTGGAACGGCGGTGTAGCCTAATGGAACTGATTATGGCACTGTCAGTGTATCGAGTACATCACACAGATCTCAGCAATGAAATAATAACAATTTAACCATCTTACCATCTCTTGTTCTTTTATAGTGCCCTGAAGAAAGAATGTGAAGTTTCTTTTTTTGACTCAGTATAGTTTCTTTGCGACTATCGATTTTCAATATATTTTTCATTATAACAAAATTATCTTGTTACTGATATTTGTTAACGACATAAGAAAATTCTTAAAATGACTTTCGTGTTGTACTATAAAATTATTGGCGTTTTCTAGGAGTAGCCATGTTTGGAAATTCAGAGTTATCTTTCCATGGAAATAGTCCGAGACTTCATCATCCCCGTGCCAGTTTGCGATTAGACCAGTGAAGAAAATAGCCACGAGAGGGGGTACGAGTCGCCATCCGGCTTGCCGGAATGGCACGAGTAGTTACGAACGATTGTTGCTCTGGCGTAGGAATATGTTTATTAATATCCGGACACTCATGTTTCATTTATTAGTCCGGACTAATACCGGATTTATTGTGCTCACCCACTGAGGTGTCATGTCGAAGTTTCTAACGGATATAGACTCGCTTATTTAGGTACCTTGTGTTGTTTGAGGTGTAGTTGTAGTGGTAGTGGTGGCTGTCCCTGTCGCTGTTGTAGTCGTTGTTGTTGATGTCGTTGTCGTTGTACACTTGTGTATATTACATTGCTCCGACCCGCTGCTGGCAGCAAGATAGCACCACACATACCCTGTTGGGAGGATGCTACCACCAGAAGGGTCGCGGCAGTAGTTGCTGGCACCACCGTAACCAGAGCCAGCGTTGCCGTTGGTGATGTCAAAGTAGTTGGAATAATAGGCGTGGTTGTTCGGAGACCTGTTCTGCCACGACTGACATGTTTTCCCAGATGCGGTTACGGACACGGTTCCACTGTAGACGGCCGTGCTTCCTTGCAGCGTAAAGCAGGGCGCTGAAATAAGAGAAGCGAGTGTATTCCTTTCATGACGTTACAAATATTTCAGATATGCCAAAACTAGAGGGTACACAGTGTAGAACACTTTGGTTGACAATATTGAGATCCCGATCCACAAAGCGTTCGTAGCGCTACGACATTCGCAAGCCAATGGTAAACTGTAAAGTTACGACCAGGGACCCTATCCACCAAATGTTCGCAGCGCTACGACATTCGCGAGCCAATGGTAAACTGTAAAGTTACGACCTGTCGTAACCTTACGAGTACTTTGTGGATCGGGACCAAGGGACCCTATCCACCAAATGTTCGTATCACTACGACATTTGTAAGCTCATGATGAACAATAGATATACGATAGGTCGTAACACTACGAACGCTTTGTGGACCGGGACCCGGGATGATTAATGGATCCAGTCTTGGATTCGAACCCACAACTAGCAAATCCAGATATGTTTCGGTTGTGTGGAACCTCGAATAATGCGGCACCAAAACCCCTGTAAACATTTGGACTATGATACCCTTGATTTAGTGGTCCGGTCTTAGATGTTTTCTTGGTGAATTATTGAGATATCCATTGTATATTTTAAGTGTGTAAATTATTGGTGTAAAATGCTGAAACTCTCTTATACTGTATTTTGAAGACATGTTATTATATGCTTTAAGGACTGGGAAACAGTAGCGGTAAATTGCAATGGTTAACATTGGGTTATAAAAAAGTTATAAAAAGATACATTATTCTAAAATATATTTATAGAATAGATTAAAATGTTCAGGACAGGACAGTGACATTCAGCTTTGAGGGATGGTGCAAAAGGTTTTGGATTCACCAGGTTTAAACTTTGGTGTGATTTGCTTTTCGTAGTTTTCTTCATCTCTAATCACAGAAGAGCTCTTGCTAAATGTAGAACAAGCACCAACAAATTACGAATATAAACAGATATATTCGGGAACACAGACATGACAGCATGTACAATGTGTAAACTACCTTATATAGAAGACGTATATCATTGTACTCTGATTTGTAACAAGTATTGCTCACTGAGGCATTACTATATCCCATGTAAAAATGATGATCATCCAACTGTACATAGATTTTAAAAGCTAATATTAACAACAAAGAAATGAAGCTGTGTTGGAGATGGTCTTGGTTGAACTTTCTCCTTGTGTACTGGTTTTAGCATGTAAACTGGCTTAGGATGACATGGGTCAACCAGGTCAGTGAGCCTGACCACCCGATCCCGTTAGTCGCCCCTTACGACAAACATGGGTTGGTGAAGACCAATTCTAACCCGGATCTTCACGGGTCACCTGGGCATAAGACCTATGCTGGTGAATACATTACTACCCCAAGTGTCTCAAAGTACTTTTTATGATGAGTTCTATGTGTCGAGGAATATTATTTATCTTAATTGTTTAGTTGCTGTAAACAGAAACCGCATCCACGGTCGTTAGACCAATTCCAACTGTATGGTGATTATGTGTTTGTTTAACGTCGAATACACATTCCTATAGCTGTATGACGCGGTCTGTAAACCATCGTCTCTGGACCAGACAATCCAATGATTGACATTTTGAGATACTATCACTGAAAGTAGCATAATCGCTCACTTATGACAGCTTCATTTTGTTTAACCCTTCAGGCATTTTCCTGGAAATGGTTTCACATTGTTTAACTGGACACGGTTCAGTAATGCTTCCTAATTGAAACTCTGGAATACTAGCAATATACCACAGAAAATACATGTTTGATAAAATTATTTTCTATCAAATTAATAAATATTGCCCACAAATAAATTTATGTTGGTGCACCCCAGGACTTATGGGTCCTGTCCAATGTAATGGGTCTTTCTTTCACAGAAAAATATGTATTTTCAGAATTTTCATACCAGAAACACAATAAACGTGTGTTTCTTGTTTTGTTACCTGCTGTTGTGGTAGTAGTGGTCGTTGTAGTCGTTGTCGTAGTCGTAGTCGTTGTTGTTGTTGGCGTTGTGGTAGTTGTGGTCGTGGTGGTGGGGGTCGTTGTCGTTGTTGTAGTTGTAGTAGATGTAGTGGTTGTAGTCAATGAAGTAGTTGTTGGTGTAGTAGTTGTCGTTGGTGTAGTGGTTGTCGTTGGGGTTGTTGTTTCAGTTGTCGTTGGTGTAGTTGTTGTTGAAGGGGTTGTTGTTTCAGTTGTTGTTTCAGTTGTCGTTTCAGATGTCGTTGGTGTTGTGGTTGTCGTTTCAGTTGTTGTTACAGTCGTTGACTCTGTCGTTGACTCTGTCGTTGACTCGGTCGTTGAATCAGTCGTCGTTGCTTCCGTTGATACAGTTGTGGAGATACAGTTTGGAATATCGCAGACTCCCCATACAAAACTGCCATCGGCAATGAAACACCACAACTGTCCCATAGAGGTGACAGCACCCCCTGAAGGATCCCGGCAGTAGTTCATGGCGCCCGCGAAGCCCGGGCCAGCCGCTCCGTTAGTTACCGTGAAGTAGTTAGCGTCGGTGTATATATGGAACACAGGAGACGTGCTTTGCCACGCCTGGCATGGCTTGCCGTTAGCCGTAGTCGACGTCTTACCGCTGTATACTGCCGTGCCTGACTGCAGCGTGTAACATTCCGGTGCAACTTGAATAAAACAAGGATACATGAATAAAACGGAACAAATTGAAACGGGCTGTAGGGTTCCCAGTAAAATCTTTCGATTTGAAGATTACCTGGTGAGATTCATACTTGGTAACGAATATCGATCTGAATATAACCATCATCGATTAGCCAGTGTATTAAATCAATTTGTTATCAATAAATTACCAGGACCCAAGCGCCTCATCATTCCGGAAGTGACGTCATTGACTCCATCTATATCTTAGCAAGTACTTACCAAGTGTTCGTGATAATGGTAAGCATGTGTTGCCCTATCGGTAGCACCCCCATTTAATTCAATTTACCTAAATAAGCATTTACAGCCGGACTCCACACAGCTGCCCTCCTGCCATGGGACGGCGGTCTTTTAACAAACCAGACAATCAGGTGATAGAGTAAGTGAGTGAGTGAGTTTAGTTTTACGCCGCACTAAGCAATTTTCCAGCTATATGGCGGCGGTCTGTAAATAATCGAGTATGGACCAGACAATCAAGTGATAAACAACATGAACATCGATCTATTGATATTGATACGATGACATGTTTCAACTGAGTCACCGAGTCTGATCACCTGATGATAGCTGAACCAGATATTCCAGTTGCCAATCTTGAATTATGATCGTTGAAGTTCAGTTGGTTGGTTGGTTCGTTGGCTGCTTGTTGTCTAACTCACCAGTTTTCCAGCTATGTGGTGGAGGTATGTAAATAATCGAGTCTGGACCAAACAATGCAATGATTAACAGCATGAGCATCGATCTACGCAATTGGGATACGATGACATGTGTCAACTAAGTCATTCAGCTTGACCACCCGATCCCGTTAGTCGCCTTTTAACGACAAGCATGGGTTGCTGATGACAAAACTCGGATTGAAGTGGTGAAATCTGTTGCTTGTTTATAAATCAGTTAAAACGCGATATCTTCCTCGTTTATAGGACTTCTTTGTTGTTTTTACCACGTGATATGTTAATTAAAAACTTCATATACCCTACCCGTTGTCGTTGTCGTTGTAGTGGTAGTGAGCGAGCAGTCGGGAATATTGCAGTTTTCAAACACGCCCATGCCGTCCCCACGAAAACACCATGGTACTTCCCTTGGGGTAAACGGTCCCCCCGAGGGGTCACGGCAATAATTCATGGCACCCGCGAAGCCAGGACCGGCGGCGCCGTTGGTGACGTCGAAGTAGGAAGCAACGTTGTATTCATGATAGGTCGGAAACTGGTTCTGCCACACCTGGCACGCACTTCCACTGATCGTTGTCGACGTCGTGCCGCTGTAGACGGCGGTGCCAGCTTGCAGTGTGAAACACTCTGGAGCAGCTGGAAGAAATAATGTGAGTGAATATTGTTTTATTCCACCTGGAACAGTTCCTGTTTTGTCCATGCATGTAAGGCAGATGTGGAAACAAATCTGTGATGTGGTTTCAAGCGACGTGTCGTTTAAATGGGTATAAAGGTCAATGGCATGTTACAAAAAAAAAAAAAAAAAAAGAAAAGAAAAAAAATAACCCCCCCAAAACCACAACCCCCAAACAAAATATACATTAATTGAATAACAATAACAAGGTGCCAAGAAATCCATTTTAACACAATTACGATGGTTAGCGATTTAATTTAGGTTTTTATTGATTCCAACATAGTGTAAATAGGATCTTATTATCTATTTAGTGTACTGAATTTTTTATTAACATTTCTAAATTATATCTTAAGTATCTTATTTTCTACCTGCTCCACTTATAAATGTATTGCACTTTGAAAGGAAGAAAACCAATTGGGGGGAGACATCTTGTTGCACTGATCAGCCTATATAGTCAGTGGTGTCCCCACTATAAGAAAAGTGAACGAAATGAGGGCCATGCCACAACGGCCATTATCATTAACTATTTTGGATTGATATTTAGAAAGTGTCGAAGCGACTCACTGCTGAAAGACAATCTCATATTCCTTGTCAGTAATCTATAAAGTGATCAAAATTCTTGACAGTGTATTGAGATACGTACACGAAGGTACGACTTACACTGTATGTTCCGTGATGTAACGGTATTTCTCCTGTATACTAAAACTGATGGCATTAACAAATATTTCTTGTTTATGATAATATAATAGAATGGAATAGAAAAGTAAATGTTTAAAATAGAATAGACAGATGTCAAGTGGAATGTTTGAAATACTAAAAAATAGAACAAGTGGGTTGCAACGTTCGTAGCGCTACGACGTACGTAATCCTTTGATAAGGTCGTAAAGTTACGAACACTTTGTGGATCGGCACCCTGAAACGATATAATACAACGTACTGAAGTAAACTAAACAGAGCACGAGAAATATTCATATAGAATAGGTTCAACAGACACTCGTCCTTCTTGGTAGTGACACTGGAATAGTTGCTTTAATATTTCATGTTTACATACCTGTTGTGATTGATGAATCCGTTGTTGTTGCTTCAGTGGTTGTGTCAGCGGTTGTGTCTGTAGTCGTGTCCGTGGTTGTGTCTGTGGTTGTGTCTGTGGTTGTGTCAGTGGTTGTGTCTGTGGTTGTGTCAGTGGTTGTGTCTGTGGTTGTGTCCGTAGTTGTGTCTGTGGTTGTGTCAGCGGTTGTGTCTGTGGTTGTGTCAGTAGTCGTGTCTGTAGTCGTGTCCGTAGTTGTGTCTGTGGTCGTGTCTGTGGTTGTGTCCGTAGTTGTGTCTGTGGTTGTGTCCGTAGTTGTGTCTGTGGTTGTGTCTGTGGTTGTGTCTGTGGTTGTGTCTGTGGTTGTGTCTGTAGTCGTGTCCGTAGTTGTGTCTGTGGTTGTGTCTGTGGTTGTGTCCGTGGTTGTCTCCGTAGTCGTGTCCGTAGTTGTGTCTGTGGTTGTGTCTGTGGTTGTGTCTGTGGTTGTGTCCGTGGTTGTGTCCGTGGTTGTGTCTGTGGTTGTGTCTGTGGTTGTGTCCGTGGTTGTGTCTGTGGTTGTGTCCGTAGTCGTGTCCGTGGTTGTGTCCGTGGTTGTGTCTGTGGTTGTGTCAGTGGTTGTCTCCGTAGTCGTGTCCGTTGTTGTGTCTGTGGTCGTGTCTGTGGTTGTGTCTGTGGTTGTGTCAGTGGTTGTCTCCGTAGTCGTGTCCGTAGTTGTGTCTGTGGTTGTGTCCGTGGTTGTGTCTGTGGTTGTGTCAGTGGTTGTGTCTGTGGTTGTGTCCGTAGTCGTTTCCGTAGTTGTGTCTGTAGTCGTGTCTGTAGTCGTGTCTGTGGTTGTCTCCGTGGTTGTGTCCGTAGTTGTGTCAGTGGTTGTGTCTGTGGTCGTGTCTGTGGTTGTGTCTGTGGTTGTGTCAGTGGTTGTGTCAGTGGTTGTGTCTGTGGTTGTCTCCGTAGTTGTGTCTGTGGTTGTGTCCGTAGTTGTGTCAGCGGTTGTGTCCGTGGTTGTATCGGTGGTTGTCTCCGTGGTTGTTTCAGTAGTAGTTTCAGTTGTTGTTTCGGTTGTTGCTTCCGTTGTTGTAGATGTTGTCGTTGGAGTTGTCGTGGTAGTCGTCGTAGTAGTAGTAGTAGTGGTAGTGGTGGTAGTTGTTGGAGTTGTTGTAGTCGTCACAGCACAGTTCTGTATATTGCAAACTTCCCATATTCCAGTGCCATCACTAATGAAACACCACACATACCCCACTGAGGATATACCACCCCCTGATGGATCTCTGCAGTAGTTCAGGGCACCGCCGTAGCCGGAGCCGGGGCTGCCGTTGGTGACGTCGAAGTAGCTGGATTGGTACGCATGTGGAATTGGGGACTGGTTCTGCCAATACTGGCATGGTCTTCCACTGATGGTGGTTGACGTGGACCCGGTGTAGACGGCAGTACCCCCTTGTATCGTGTAACACTCAGGAGGCGCTGGAAATGTACACATTAATTTGGATGCAATCGTTCTATCGAGTGATGCTTTTATTCAGTTAAATTTCGAATTCATTATAATTTTGCGTAAAAATATTCGAGAAATTAATCGAGAAAATAAATGGACCAATAATAGACGCAAAGCGAAATAAATATAATTCAACGTAATTGAAATTACAAGAAAATAGTCTCACTAACCTGAACTACGTGACAAAATTAAATTAATATAAAAGATGCAATTTCGTAATAAAATATTGGAGAACATCGATGCACCAATTAGCTTTAAGGGACGATTGGCATCGCTTGGATGGGACTCAGTATGCTGGCTTCAATAGACAATACGTCTGGTTGAAAGAAAGCTCTTTATTGGGTAAATGTAATGTAAGTAATTATCGTATGAAAGTTAAGCATTAATATCTGTGTGTGCACGGACAGGCGCTGATAAAACACAACATGAAAAAGGATGTGAGATGAAAATCCTCAGTTAAATGATAACAACAGTATCACTTCCATCGCCTTCACAAACTGTGTGTGGAAACAGGAACAGGCCATCTGATAATCTATAAACAGGGTCTTGTATATGGCAACTGGATATTTTTCATCACTAAAGTGTAAAACCAAGAACCAGGCTAGCTATTCTCGAAACTTCGTAAGTCCTACGAACTTCTTAAGCCCATTCTTAACACATTGGCTACGATCAAAGTTAAGAATTCTTAGGGCTACGAACGTTTCGAGAATAAGGGCCCTGGACAGTTTTAGAAACAGAGACCATCAGGCAACAAGGACATATGGTCATGGACTTCTTTTACTGACTGAGTTTGGTTTTACGCCGCTTTTAGCAATATTCCAGCAACATCACGGCGGGGACTTCTTTTAACAACAGCTTGTAGCATATTTCATGTCAAAGTATTTCATATTTCAAATGGTTCCTAAATAACGACACATTTACGTCCACCAGGGTCCTTGGGCCCGATCAACAAAGCGTTCGTAGCGTTACAAGCTATCGTAACTACATTGTTTATTATAGACTTACGAATCACGTAGCACTACGATCGTTTTGTGGATCGGGTCCCTGATTAGCTATTCTCGTAGCCCTACGGACGTCTTAAGCCCATTCTTAACACATTAGCTACGATCAAAGTTAAGAATTCCTAGGCTACGAACGTTTTCGAGTATAAGGGCCCTGGCTAGCTATTCTCGAAACGTTCGTAGCCCTACGAACTTCTTAAGCCCGTTCTTAACACATTGGGTACGATCAAAGTTACGAATTCTTAGGGCTACGAACGTTTCGAGTATTAGGGCCCTGATCCACAAAGCGTTCGTAACGTTACGACCTGTCGTAACTTAATAGTTAATCATAGGATTACGAATGTCTTAGCTCTGCGAACGTTTTGTGGATCGGGACGAGGAAATGGATCAACGTACTACCATCTTACGTGTGGCTCCGGGAGCGGGAGCTGGAGTCGTTGGTACGCAAAATGGGACGTTGCATCTGCCCCAAATTCCGGAACCGTCGCTGACGAAGCACCACACATATCCGACAGGATTAACACCTCCTCCTGAAGGATCTCGGCAGTAGTTGAGGGCTCCACCAAATCCCGGCCCCGCGGCACCGTTGGTAATGTCGAATTGGCTTGAGAAGTACCCATGGAAGATGGGTGTTTTACTTGACCAAGCTTGGCATGGCTGGTTGGCCTGGGTAACGGCCACGGTGCCGCTGTATACGGCAGTGCTGCCGCTGAGGGTGAAGCAGTCAGTCGCACCTGTCACTGATATTGAAAAATAAGACACAGTCATCATCTGAACAAATCACTATATGCGTGTGATATACGTTGGTGGGCTGGGAAGTCGAGTTTTAGCGACTTCAGCAGTAGGAATATCAGTACCTGTATTATCACGAAACATAGTTTGTAATGTTTGGTAAATCTTGAACTGGATATTACAACAGTCTGATCCTCGTCAGAAGGACCTGAAACTTAAGCATCCTGAGTGAGTGAGTGACTTTAGTTTTACGCCGTACTCAGAAATATTCCAGCTATATGGCGGAGGTCTGTAAATATTCGAGTCTGGTCCGGGGATCAACAGCATGAACATCGATCTACGCAATTGAGATACGATGACATGTGTCAACCCAGTCAGCGAGCCGGACCACCCGATCCCGTTAGTCTCCTCTTACGACAAGCATGGATTACTGAAGATCAATTCTAACCCGGACCTTCACGGGTTACAGCATCCTGCGTCAATCGTGAATATTGGCAGCAACAGCAACATCAGCACCTGCATCATCACGCGACATAGTTTATAATAACATGTGCATTTTGAACTGGATGTTACAACGACCCGATCCTCAGCAGAAGGACTTGAAGCTTCAGCATGCTGAACTAGAGTACATCGTGAATATTGGCAGCAACAACAACATCAGCACCTCTATCATCAACATCATAACTTCAACATCTCGAGTCAATCCTGAATATTGGAAGCAACAGCAACACCAACACCAACAGCAGCAAACCACACCTGGATCTTTACCATTAATATACATCATTCATAATATGCAACGTGAACCAGACTCTGGGTAAAACGGATCAAAGTATCAACAGTTAGAGTGTGTCATGTTTCTTCGTACCCGATTCGACATGTAGCCTCCACCTTAGTGAAACATGTCATTACCATGACATATCCTACAAACAAACGCAACCCATCAGTCGAAATCGTTTAAAGATTAATTCTGGGATGTGTTTCAATCATGGAGATTAGGCTTTAACGTTTGCAGGACAATGAACTGCATCACGATGCTTTGAAGACCATTGTGGCATCATCCGTAACCATGGCATTACAATCCAGTGGTATCACTTAATTTGACTGTTTTGTGTCATTGGGTGTTGTTTAATGCCGGTCAGCAATATTCCAGCTATATGGCAGCGGTCTGTAAATAATCAAGCCTGGACCAGACAATCCAGTGATCAACATCACGAGCATCTAAGCAATCAGATTACGATGTCAGCGAGTCTGACCGCCTGATCCTGTTAGTCGCCTCGTGGGCAGCTGAAGACCATTTAAAACCCGGTCACTTAATTTGACACTGGACCTGTGTAGTACCTGTACTTTCTACACTCAAGACACTGGTTATTACTGTTTACCTACAAAATAATTTGAACGAATACATGCTGATGACAAATAGAATTTAACCTAAGCGTCCTTTGCTATCAAATATATCAAAATATGTCCATAACTAATAAATAAGACATCAATCGACGCTAGCGAGTGTATGTGTGTGCGTCTGTGCGCTCGTGCGCGTGTGTATGTCTAAGTGTTATGGGTGTGTGCAGGTTTGTTTAAGTGTCAGGCAGTGTCAGGACTTATTGTTAGAGGCGACGACATTTGATTCGGGTAGTTCCGTTTGGTGATTTGGTATATTTTGCGGATCGTGCCCCAAGAACTTTGGATGTTATTATCATTTTGCTGGTCTGATTGGTCCATGATTGAATATTTACAGCGGGAGTAAATACTCAAACAAAACAACGTCAGCGTACCTCACCAGCACGAACCTCTCAGACAAAGGAACTTGATATTAACAGGCTGGAGACAATAACACGTTACAACGTAATTCTGGACTCACAAAAGTCCAGAAACTCTGGCCACTTTCTGACAAGGGATTTGACCAAATTAAACATGCAGTTGTCATGAATATATGCCAAGGATGAAAAAATGACAAATTTAAACTCGATGTTTAGTTTCGCTCAGAATTCATGTTTTGGAGGTTGTATAAGTATCGTGACACAAAACTCAACTCATTTTGACTTAATTAGGCTAATTTAGAGCAATCAATACATTTATGTAATCCCACGCAGAGTTCTGCAAAGCGCAATACTAAATATATAATGTCAGCGCCAGAGCACCTTCTAAAGCGATTCATCGGACGTAACATGGAAATTAGCGCAGGCATCTATGGAAGACTGAAAGGAAGTGATGACACCAGGTGTTCGCGAAGAGGATTACCATACCCCATTCGATAACACCCGGCCCAATTTGTATTAAAGTGTTTGCTACTAGAGTAACTGATAACTGTTCCATGTGTGTCGTTACAGAAAGGTTATATTTAGAATACGAAACTACTGTTGATAAAAATACCATCAAGACGTACCTAAAGGGTACGTTAAACTTTGCTTCAGCAAATGTAATACACATATAATTTCGATACGGGTTGAAATCTTCATTAAATCTGTGAACACCTGATGATAATTACGACCTTACCTTGTATCGACGTTGACAGCAGCAGCACCAGCAGTACGACATCATCCACTATTTTCATGTTGACAGATAACGCTGTCGCAAACTGCGGGTAGTGTTATCTCAACAGTGGTGTCCGTTCTTCTAAAGAGGAGCTGACGTGTTTGGTCCAACACACATGCTATAGGAACCCAATACACATGCTATAGGAATGAATACGTATATCAAAGCCGTTGAAGCGTGACGTCTCTCGAATGACCTTCACAAAAGGCCAGATCATACTTGAAGAGACTAAACGTTTCTATTGATAGGTTAGAAGGCATGACCGGTTGACTAGTGCGTCTCTGCTGTGTATACAATTGTCGAAAGGATTCCTATTGACCGAATTTAATAGGCAATCGTAAGCTAGTAATGAGAAGTGTCGGTGTGAAAGGTAGAATGGTATTAGCGAATTGTTGAGAATGTTTACAGTTATTGGATATGCGTTTAAAAGCCTATTTGATATCCAAAGCATTTTATCCATTTCAAAACACGACTAAATTCAATGAAGTAAAGGCTTTTGTTAGACATCAAGTATTAATAAGCAACGATTGACCAAGGACAAAGAGAATTTTTGGGCGGGTTTAAATCTGCGGTGCATAAAAAGTATTCACAATGTACATGTATAAGGGTTTGGCGGGTTAATCTGGCAGGAAGGTTTTATGTGACGTCATACTGATTTACCTCTTTGGAGTTCCCTATAAACAGAACACTGGTGTTGACCGATCACGGATTTAAATGTGATATATGAAAGTATATATGATATATGTTGTAGGTCATGGCCGCTAAGGGACACAACTCGGCACAAATCGACAGGCATTTACAGTGAGTGAAAGAGTAGCAATATACTGACAGTATGTGCCGGGACACCAAAATTGAAACTCATAAATTGTTGCCATCTTGGGAAGCGACCCCGGGTGTGAAGTGTGAAAGCTTTAACCACTAGCCTATCCCACCTCCCGCATAGGCATTGAGGGGCGGTGGGGTAGGCTAGTGGTTAAAGCGTTGGCTCGTCACGCCGAAGACCCGGGTTCGAATCCCCACATGGGTACAATGAGTGAAGCCCATTTCTGGTGTCCCCCGCCGTGATATTACTGGAATATTGCTAAAAGAGGCGTAAAACCAAACTCAGTCAATCATAGGCATTGAGAAGTTGGAAGAATATGAAGATATAATGCATCTTATAGAAAACAACTTTTTTATTCTTCTTAGAGACTTACAGAGCTGCTTCTTGTCATTTCATTCCGTAAATATGCTGTGAGATATAAGAATACTCAATATGACGTTTTCTTGATCTTAGCGAAAAGACTGTCATCTCCTTACTTGTTCTGCGCATGCCAAGTTTAGAGACTGCGGACTGTTTCATCGTTCTAACATTTCCATGTTTGGGACAGCGCGCTCTCTCATGTATAACGGTAGATTATTGTTCATGGAATTGATTTAAATCGCTTATTCCTTGTGTAGTGTAGACGATGGTTTGTTTTAGAATTTCAGATTTTATGACAAGGCACATTTAACAGTGTTATATAAACTGACATTTCAAAAAATACGTCTTCTTCAGAATGCTACATAATACTATTTCCCTGCAGGGTCCTGACCTACAAAGCCTTCGTAACGTTACGACATATCGTAACTATACCAGATTATTGGCTTACGAATAGCGTAATAACGCTTTGTGGATCCCAGGTTATTAAAAACATGGTAGACAAATGTTGAAACATTTGTTTTCTGTTCATGTGTGTTTGGTTTGTTTTCATCGATTGACACAATATTCCTGACATATGATGGGTTGGTTGGTTGGTTTGTTGTTTAACGCCTCACGCAGCAATATTCCAGCTACATGGCGCCGGTCTGTATATTATCGAGTCTGGACCAGACAAACCAATGATCAACAGCATGAGCATCGATCTTTTCAATTAGGATACGATGGTACGTGTCAGCCAAGCCTGACCACCTGATCCCGTTCAGCGCCTCTTACGACAAGTTTGGGTTGCTGAAGACCAATTCTAGCCCGGATCTTCAAGGGCAGGATTTATTTTTGAAAATTAGGTAGGGTTATTAAATGTTTAAACTGATTTGTATTTCATATTGAAAGTATAATGTTGCACTGTATATTTGGGTAACCTTATCTTAGTGTTTGGCCCTAGTGTATGTAGAAGGTATATGCTGAAATATGTATATGAAATGAATACAAGTGGAATATGAAGTGCATATGTGAGGTGAGGTGAAATTGGGTTTAACGTCGTGCTTGAGAATCTTTCGCTCATATGACGACGTGCATGCGTATGTGTATGTGCGGCTGCTTGTACTAGCCCAGACTTAAGCTGGTTTTATAGTGCTAGCTCACTGAGATACCATGCCGCAGTGAAGCATGTGAATACCCCACTCAGACACATTATACTGACTCCGAGCCGACCAGCAGACCAGTACCCATTAATGCCGAGCGCCAGGCAGGGACCAACAAGTACCATACTTTAACGTCTTTTGGTATGACGCGGTCGGGGATCGAACCCGCGACCTTCCGCTCTCCGGGCGGACGCTCTAACCACTACACCACGGAGGCGGTCGAATGTGTATATGTACAAGTATCATGTATCCATGTATTTTGTAGGTTTTCTTTCGCTGGAAATCTATACCTGCTAATATAGCTGTGATTCTACTGCAGTTATTTGTGCGTTCAGGGCCATGCTGTGGGGGAAGGAGAGCTCGAAGGGTCTCTGGTTGTAACCTTGAAACGAAGTAGGATATTATAAAATATGTTTTGTAGAGAGTAAACGATTAAGACGACGTGCTGAGTAATTAACGTTTAATATGTTTTAACTTGAGGGATTTGCTCAAATATGTGTGAATTGTTAACCAAATGTAATACTAGTACTCATATTGTCTGGGACCATGATATATTACTATTCGAACTTTTGAACATGTCATTCATTTTTTGTACATTAGAGTACATGTATATGAGATACAAGGGATGTGATGCAATATACAGCATGATATGTCAGATGTGGTGCTTTAAACAATATGACATGTCGTATATGATGCTATATACAACATGGCATGTCGGATGTAATGCTATAAAGCCTATATACTTTATGATATGGAAAGATCAGATGTGGCCCTATATACAATATGATATGTCGGATATGGTGCAATATACAACATGATAGGTCGTTTGATATGTTATATACAATACGATATTTCGGATATGACACTTTATACAACTTATGTTGGATGTTGTGCAACATACAGCATATGTTGGGTGTGACCCCATATACAATATGCTATGTCTGATATGACGCTATATGCGACACTGTATGCTGCGTGTTGCGCTATATAAAACATGATATGTTGGGTATGCCACCACATACAACACCCTATACAGGCTGATATTTCACTGGTCTAACTATGTTACATCCTGGTATGTTGGATATCTGATTATGTTCATGTATTTGTATATGTCATTATGTAATGACCGCCGTTTATGACGGAAGACTTTCGTTTCATGAAAAATAAAATAAATTGAAACAAGAGAGTACATGTCAATCATTCAATCAATTCTTTATTCAAGTATGAAGGGCACCGGGCCCATATGCATCAATTGTACAACAAATATAACAGATGGTTCAATATAAGAGTGGGTATTTAGTTAAACATATGTCTAACTAGACTTTAGATAACTGTTCAGATAGTATTTACTCTGTTTCTCATAAACATGGACAAATAAAGACTCAAAATGTTAAGGTTTGTGTACTATTTGTTAAAAGATTATTTTTTATAGTTTAACATATTTGCAGTTGTGTATTTCCTTCTAATCTCATCATACAATTGACATATAACACAAAGTGATATCCGTCTTCTAGAATATTTGTACATATAGAAGGTATGCATCGCAACACTAGACATGACTGACTCCTGCTTGACAACGATACAAGAATCCGTATCGAAACGTCGCACTCACGACTTAAAGAAGTTGTTATCCATAAACATGTGTTCTATATTGTACTTCTCAACTAAAAAATGCCACTCCAGCAAGTTAGACATGACTGCACAGTATGAAAACATGAACACATTCAGGCACAGACAGCGAGGCACATAACCGACAGCCAACGCTATGTACAGCTGGCCGTATACAATACATACTATAGGAATCATAAAACATTAAAGGCTCTGGTGAAATAAGAGTTTGTTTGTACAGTGTGCCTCTGATATTGTTGTTTAGATTTGTTTACGATGTGTGTGAAATACCGGCATTTTGTTAATGGGGATTTCGCTCTTTGTTGGTTTGGCTTTTCACTTTTTCCATTGACGGATTTGGTTTACGACTTACAGTTGGGAGTGACTGGTTGTACGTCCACAATACGTATTGTTTATTTCTTACAACGTGCACAGACAACTCACCTGTGTGCACCAGTACGGATCATGCTATAGTACAGTCTATTTAACCGTACGGTATATTGTGTGGCTACTTAACTATTGGGTTCTTTGTTGAATAGTAAACATACACGCATGCATGCACTCACATATAAAACACCACTTTCTGTATTTCTCTGTGTGTTCCTGTGTGTAGAATCCATGAAGATACATGTTAGTGAGTGAGTTTAGTTTTACGCCGCACTCAGCAATATTCCATCTATATGGCGGAGGTTTGTAAATAATCGAGTCTGGACCGGACAATCCAGTCATCAATATCATGAACATCGATCTACGCAATTGGGATACGACGACATGTGTCAATCAAGTCAGCGAGCCTGACAACCCGATCCCGTTAGTCGCCTCTTACGACAAGCATGGGTTACTGAAGATCAATTCCAACCCTGGTCATCACGGGTATGATGCGGGTTAGAATTGGGTTAGAATTGGTTTTGCAACTTATGTTTTTAGGTAAAACATAATTCAGGTATCGTGAATGAGTGAGTGTGTGACCTGCTTTTTTTTGCAGTTTTCCATTTGATCGAACCCGGGTCTTCGGCGGGACGAGCGAAGTTAACAACTACCGCTCCTGAATATGGGTATCGGGTTGTTGAGACAGCTGATGTATATCATCGTATTCCATTTGCAAATGTCGATGCTCATCACGTCAGTCACTTGGAATCACTGGTCCTGCTTCAATTACAGCCGTCACAGAGTTGAAACATAGTTGATCGTGTGTGCAGTGTTAAACAAAACACAATACTCTTTCACCCAGTTTATTGATGGTCAATTCCCGTACTTAGTAAGGCTGATCCGGGCCGGTGGGGTAGCCTAATGGCTAAAGCGTTGGTTCGTCACGCCGAAGACCCGGGTTCGAATCCCCACATGGGTACAATGTATGAAGCCCATTTCTGGTGTCCCCCGCCGTGATGTTGCTGGAATATTGCTGCGGCGTAAAACCAAACTCAGTCAGTCAGTCAGTCAGTAAGGCTGATCCGTAGGCCAGGGCCTTGTTTCACATAGCTCTCTTAAGCCTAAAATCTCGTAACTTTCCTCGTAGCATTCCTACCCCCTGTTCTGTACCATTGACTTACGATAGTCGTAGCGCTACGAGAGCTTTGTGAAACGGGGCCCTGGCTAGCTATTCTCGAAACGTTCGTAGCCCTACGAACTTCTTAAGCCCATTCTTAACACATTGGCTACGATCAAAGTTAAGAATTCTTAGGGCTACGAACGTGTGGAGAATAAGGGCCCTGGTTAGTATATGATCAATACCTTCAGTTGTCATCACACTATGACCCGTGTGCGTGCGCATGCGTGCGTGTGCGCATGCGTAGGCGTGTGTTAGTCTTGACACATACACAGTAGGCATGCTTCAGATGAACTCGTATCATCCATTTAGACCAACTATAATGACACCGCCTGACCAGTTCCTTTTTTATCCCATGAATGGCGAGCTCCAGGCAGGGAAATAACAAGTACTTTACTTTGATATGACGTAGCCGTAGATCAAACCACTGCCTCCACTCCCCAGGCAGACAAATGTTAACGTAAGTGGTCCACAGTGTATAGATATAGGGTAACGCCTTCTTTAAGGCACATAATAGCACACATTGCGTACTAGAATTTATAGGTTATTTAATGTATTTAACACCCAAGTCCACATTTAACATTGAGCAATTGCGCATGTCTCCCATCCAGGAGAGTTGGCAAGATAACACCATAGGTAGCCAAAAGGAAGAATGCTCCCTCCTGAAGGGTCGCGGCAGTAGTTGCCAGCGCCACCGTAGCCGGCGCCTACGACGCCGTTAGTGATGTCGAAGTAGCTGGCGATGTAGGCGTGGTTGTTTGGAGACTTGGTCTGCCACGACTGACACGTTTTCCCAGATGCGGTGACGGCCACTGTTCCACCGTAGACGGCCGTGCTTCCTTGTTTGGTGAAACAGGCAGCTGAAAAGACGGGATATAAAGTCTTTACGAGACCCCAAAAAAAATTGAACATCTGAGACCAGAGCAAAATAAGTGAGGGAGTTTAGTTTTCAGCAATATACCAGTAATATCAAGGCGGGGAACAACAGAAAATAGCAATATAAAGGGGATATACATCAATGTTCGTATACCTGTAGATATTTCCTAACCGAATGATACTTATTGTATACAGATTTACAAACACCGGCATCTGATTGTTGCATTGGCGTAGGAATATCTGCATTAAAATCCGGAAACTCGTGTTTCATTTATTAATTCGGACTAATACCGGATTTATTAGATTTCCAATAGACACTGACTCGTTTATTAAAGTACCTTGCGTTGTTTGAGGTGTTGTTGTAGTCGTAGTGGTGGTTGTCCCCGTCGGCGTTGTAGTCGTTGTTGTCGTCGTGGTACACTGGTTTATATTACACTGCTCAAATCCGCTGCTGTCTGCAAGATAGCACCACACGTACCCGGATGGAAGAATGCTACCGCCAGAAGGGTCGCGGCAGTAGTTGCTGGCGCCGCTGTAGCCCGAGCCAGCGTCGCCGTTGGTGATGTCGAAGTAGCTTGAATAATAGGCGTGGTTGTTCGGAGACGTGCTCTGCCACGACTGACATGTTTTCCCAGATGCGGTGACGGACACGGTTCCACTGTAGACAGCCGTGCTTCCTTGCAGTGTAAAACAGGGGGCTGAAATAAGAGAAGCGGGTGTATTCCTTCCGTGGCGAGTTTAAGGTATTTCAGACATGTTACAATGAGAAGACAAATTGAAAAACAAACCAAAGGGTACACAGTTTAGGCGTTTACCGTTTTGGTTGGTACCGCTGGCACCGTTGCTGCACGTTCGTAACTGAATCATCTCTCTGACTTAAGCTAATTTGAAAAAAATCATGAAAACATAATTTCAATTATGATAGGTAATATGTGCTAAAAGCAGAATCCGACAACATCATGAACATCTGTTGATAAGCAGGGGTGGAAATAACCCATTGCCCGACGCCCGAGTCCAGTGTTTTTTTTCTGTCGGGCAAGCAAATTTTTATATCACACTGTACCGTGTCTAGTTGATATTCCAATGTTAATTATGTTGTTTATTTAAAAAATCAACAAGAAAACGGCCGGTATAGTGGAAAAATTATCAGGGCAAGTGATAATTATATGTGCCACTGTACCGGAGTACACTAGCAATTTTAAAGTTATTTCCACCCCTGATAAGTCTGAGGGGCGAGACACAAGGTGTTCTTCGCCCCTCGATGACACCACCCGCAAACAGGACAATACAGTGTTCGAAAGTATCTTCTTCCAATAATCGATATTCAACACGGGAAATGGAATAACAAAGAACAAAATGGCTCCTGTCACTTATTGTGACATATCAATGAATAAACTATCAGAATCTGGGATGCAAGTGGCATGGAAACGGGCTGTGACATCTCCAGCCGCGTCTAATGCAGATTGGTGGCCATTTTGTTCATACTGTGTCACGTGGTCAACAGCAGCGAGAATCTCGGGAGATCTCGTAGACCGGACTATGGACTATGCTGCAAGTATTATTTCAAGTTTTAACTACCTTAGCGCACAGTCCAGCAATGATTGGTTAATGTTACCTATTGTTGTTGTAGTTGTAGTTGTAGTGGTAGTGGTTGTTGTCGTCGTTGTAGGTGTGGTGGTTGTGGTGGTTGTAGTTGTTGTAGTTGTTGTCGTAGATGTCGTAGTTGTAGTGGTTGTTGGAATTGTGGTTGTAGTCGTTGAGGTTGCTGTAGGTGTAGTAGTCGTTATCGTGGAAGTAGTAGTAATTGCCGTTGTTGTCGTGGGCGTGGTAGTAGTCGTCATCGCGGATGTTGTTGTCGTTGGAGTTGTAGTTATCGTGGGTGTGGTTGTTGTTGTTGGGGTTGTAGTCGTCGTAGGCGTAGTAGATGTCGTTGGGGTAGTTGTCGTGGGAGAAGTAGTCGTTGTGACTGTTGATGTCGTTGGAGTAGAAGTGGTCGTTGCTGTTGTCGTTGGAGTATTAGTCGTCGTGGCTTCTGTAGTTGTTGCCGTTGGAGTAGTCGTCGTCGTGGCTTCTGTCGTTGTTGTTGGAGTAGTAGTTGTCGTGGTTGTAGTAGTTGTTGTTGTCAAAGCGCAGTTAGGAATGTCACACAAATCCCAAATCGCGGTTCCATCGGAGACATAACACCAAAGAAAGCCGGCAGCTCCAGCGCTACTGGCTGAAGGATCACGACAGTAGTTTCCGGCACCGCCGTACCCCATTCCGGCAGCACCGTTGGTGACGTCGAAGTGGCTGGAGAGGTAGGAGTGGGGGATAGGGTGTGTGCTTTGCCATGTCTGACAAGGCTTCCCGGTGCGGGTCACGGCCGTTGTGCCGCTGTACACGGCGGTGTTGCCCTGCAACGTGAAACACTCGGGGGGATCTACAAAAAAGAAATATTATGCATATATATTAAACAAAACATACTAACAATAAACTGCAGATCACAACAATACATATTTGTGTAAACGGAGATATTCATTTGCGGTTGATGTTCTTATGGTCCTAGGGATTCGGGCCACATCCAATCAGTTGGACTTCAATTAGCGAATTACAGTTTCATGTCCTTACAGATTTGTTCTTGATTGGCTGAATCAGCCATGCTGTTGTTTGTTTTTTAGAATTGTGAAATGATTTCATATATTTCATTTATTAATTCATTTAGTGTTTGTTTTGTTTATTATTTTGTTTCTCTGTGCAATCAGCGCATTATGGAAACCATGACAGACATCAACCAAGACATGACAGCACGCCTGACCCGATCCCTGCCACCTTTGACAATCCCAGTTTGCTGAAGACAGTTCCAACCCGGATCTTTATGGGGTAATACCAGTGATATGTAAAGGGTAAAGGGATGGGTAAATCCCCCTTTCCCTTTACGCAGGGAGCTAACTTGCGTTCTCCTCTAGCAGGGAGGAGAGTTCAGATAGCATGCACTGGAGAAATCAGATGCATGTACTTCGTAAACCTACAAACATGTCATATAAATAAAACGTTCCGCTCCAGTCAACTCCTTCTCGATAGTATCTACGTTCAAAAGTATGGCAAACTTGTTTTCCAACAGTCCAGAGGTTATACTGGTGATCTGTAACCACTCCCTTTTTAAGTTTAGTGGCCCAGGCAAATGACTTCATTATGAATTGCACGTCTTAAACAAGAGTAAGTGAGTGAGTCGACTTTAAAACCGTTTTGACCGTTTTCTGGTGCCATGTTGCCATAATACAGGAGGTAAATAAAAAGGATACACACCACTCACTCATCACTTATAGTGAAATCCTACCTGGTGCCCCCGGGATGGGGGAGGGTGTGACGGGGGGACACAGAGGAACCCCACATCTTGACCAGATAGCGCTGCCGTCGGCTATGTAGCACCATAAGAAGCCCGCTGGCTGAGACGCCCCTCCTGAAGGATCACGGCAGTAGTTGTTAGCGGCGACTATGCCGGGGCCAGCTGCTCCGTTGGTGATGTCGAAGGAGGTGGAGGTGTACGGGTGTGGGATTGGGGACTGGTCTACCCACTTCTGACATTCTCTGCCGAACTCATCGACGGCCGTAGTTCCACTGTAGACAGCAGTGCCGTCTTGAATGATGTAGCAGTCTGTCGTACCTGGGGGTAAAACAACAGGATAAAACAACAGGGTAAAACAACAGGATAAGACTTTAACTTGTAGATGGTATAGGATTGATTTTGATCAATTATGCTTATTACAAGAGGCGACTATGCTTGTCGTAAGAGGTGTCTAAATGAATAGCCAGACTTGGTTGTTGCATGGGGCTTGGTGGGCGGGCTGACTAAGGCGCCAGGCTAGTGATCCAGCGAGGTTGAGGTGTCGGGATCGAGCCCACCTGTGACCGGGTGTAAAAACCTTGGAGTCAACTTTGTGTGCAGACTCTCTCAGTGTTGTCACAACCCCTAGTGTACAGTACACAACCCTGTGCACTTAAAAGAACCCACGAATCCGTTGGTATTTGACCAGATGGTGGCCACATGAATACGTGCAAACACCTAGTTGCGGGTACAGCAACGTGCAGTGAACATGGACAAAGTACTGTGACTATGTGTCCCAGTCCACCCAGCTGTGAATGGGTACCTCGTTAGGATGAAAGCCACAATAACTCGGTGCGCCTAGTGGCTGCAAGAGTTGTATACTCCCCAGAGAGTTGAGATTTGATAACACGATGCGTCGTTGAGATTGACATCCAATGATCGAGGGGAAAAATACCAGTGCCTTGAGCATGCACTAGTGCGTGGATATGTGCGCTATATAAATATCCTATAATAATAATAATGTCATCGTATCTCAATTTCGTAGATCGAAGCTCGGGTTGTCAATGGACTGTCTGGTCCAGACTCGATTATTGACAGACCATTTTCATGAGTGAAGGTGCTTCGATAACCAGAAGTGTTAGGCCGAACACTAGTGTCCAAAATGTTTCCAGTCTTTTAAAACGTGTCTTTGGTGTTGTGAAAAAGTGTTAAGGAACATCTTAAATTATCTTTGTTAACATGTTTGCTTGCAAAGTAACATTTTTCCATTTTCTGTGTACACATAGCAATATTTATCGCCAAAACGCAGCAATATTCAAGCAGTATTTGCATCCATTTCACATGTAGAATGATTCTATAGGGTATGACGACAGCCTAGAAAATATGATATGATACACAAGTATGAGAAATATGCCACGCGTAACAGCTGAAGAGAGAGAAAGAGCCATTGGGATAGTGCAGATCAGACATACAATGCTGTTTCCAACGCCCTCGGGTGCCACCGTATCACGGTTATAATACTTATTCAGGGCTTCAGTCAGACTAGGGTCACCGTCGACAGACCAAGTAGGGGACGTCCACGCATCACAACGCCAGCTGGGGCGGTGGGGTAGCCTAGTGGTTAAAGCGTTCGCTCGTCACGCCGAAGACCCGGGTTCGATTCCCAACGTGGGTACAAAATGTGAAGCCCATTTCTGGTGTCCCCCGCCGTGATATTGCTGGAATATTGCTAAAAGCGGCGTAAAACCATATTCACTCACTCACTCACAACGCCAGCTGAAGATAGGTACCTCCGTCACTAAGGCAGGAGGGTAACGTTTCTTTTGGTATTTAGTGTATGTCATGTATCTGATTGGACAATATTACACCGCAGTAAATGCTTTGTGTCACTCTCCTTTGAACTCAAGTGCATTTACCTTGCAGTGTGTACCATTGCGGGGAAGAAACTGATGAAGTAACAAATCACCCTATATCCTGGTTGATAGTTTATGAGAAACACGCGAACGTGTATTTAGTTCCGCCAAACAAAGAACTATTTATATGCACGAGCAAATGAGTTAGTGGGTGAGTTGGGTTTTACGCCGCTTTTAGCAATGTGCCAGCAATATCACGGCGGGGGACACCAGAAACGGGCTCTACACACTGTACTCATGTGGGGAATCGAACCCGGGCCTTCGGCGTGACGAGCGAACGCTTTAAACATTTGATTACCCCACCGCCCCCATTCACGAATAAAGGTGCACAGGCAAGATCTCAAGATATCCGAGTTCCGTGATGGGATACAAACACGAACGTTCTGGCCGAGTGTCGGATGCCTTGTCCACATGGCCAACAGGTTAACCGCGTCAACAAGCTGACCAGGTAAAGATGTCAGCTGTTGGATACATCCACGCAAAGATAGATCAGCAAGAATGTAGTACCTTATCCACTTGTCTTTGTCTACTCTTTATTGTATGGAATATCTTCATGATAACAAAATATTTACGAAATTTCATTCATACCATTTACATTTTCTATGTGTACATTTTGACATGGGTTTTACGCCTCTTTTAGCAATATTCCTGCAATATCACGGCAGGGGACATCAGACATGGGCTTCACACATTGTACTCATGTGGGGAATCGAACCCGGGTCTTCGGCGTGACGAGCGAACGCTTTAACCACTAGGCTACCCCAACGCCTCATATTTTCTAAGAACGTGAGATACCTAAGAAGAGTGTTTGACTGCATATCAGAGGTTTTTAAATGCAATTGGTTAATCAAATAAACTATAACATTATAAACAACATTACCTCGTTTCTCCTTAATGCATATATAACGTATTGTGTAAAATACCCTCGCTCAAGACTGACTGACTAACTGAGTTTAGTTTTACGCCGCTTTTAGCAATATTCCAGCAATATCACGGCGGGGGACACCAGAAAATGGGCTTAACACATTGTGCCCATGTGTGGAATCGAACCCGGGTCTTCGGCGTGACGAGCCAACGCTTCCCTCGCTCAAGAAATAACATCATTCATTTCTACTTTCAATGCACATTGTGTATAACCTGCTTAATATTTGGCAACACTAATATATACCTGGGGCAAACGTAGTTTCTGTATTTGCCTTGTGAAAAAGGCATGGATCAACGCTCACGGTTACTTTACTCACCTTGTGCAGATGTCGTCGTCAACATCATCAGCAGCAGTACGACATCCTTGCCTAACCCCATCTTCAGTGACACTACTGACCGAAGACTGTGTACTATTTTCCCGAAAACTGATGCATGTTCCGTTCTCAGACCTGTAGATTATTCATTACAGGAAGGGTCGTGTAGGACTAGGTAGACGGGGCGCCATATAATCTGTTGACTTGAGTGTAGTAGCTACATTATGCATGCAGGGATTTCTGAGCGAATGCTTCATGACGTGTGAAGGCCAGCATTGAAAAGAGGAAACCTTTATTGCCCCTGAGCTATGACCGACACGTCACCTACCATACAACTACTATACAACCGCTATACAACACACGTCTATTTGTACTGTAATTGTACAATTGTTAACATAGAGGATGATAAATATCGATAAATGGAATGACATATTGAAGTGATTGGTGAAATATTGAACTATGCTGATGGTAAGGGTAGCGTTTTGACGATTTGATCGATTGCCTATACATCAGCAATCTAAATTCTTCTAAGGTGAAAAGAGTTCCCACAGATTAGCTCTTATAAACCGCCAAGGCCAAAGTGGGTCTCTTATGTGGAAATAAGGATATCTCTAACCAGGTATTAAATATTATAGTATAATTAAAAAAAATAATCTTTGCAGAGTGGTTAGATTTTCCGAGCCTTGACAAGCAACGTTATGTTTATTGTCGTTATTAAGATGAAAAATATGTGTTCTAATGATTATAACTACATCTAAATTCGTGATCAGTTGTTTGCCCTTGGGTTGGTCAAACAATGACGTCATCATATGGAATAGAATTACGTCACCTCCAAACAAGTTCGACATGCTAATCGAATCAGATAACCGTAATGTTTTGTACCATGTTTTCATTGGTTTATTCATGGAACTTGTTTGTGACAAGTGCCACAAGTTGGATACGCGCTCCTTTTACCGAACTATTTGATTGTGATTCTCGAAAGAATAAGTTCGTTATAACCGTAGTTCTTTATACTCATCTCCACTAAAATATTCAGTAACATACCGGGGCCTCTGACAGTTAGTTATATCCGTCATTCGTCATAAACGAGTTCGTTATAACCGTAGTTCTTTATACTCATCTCTACTATAATATTCAGTAATAGACCACGGCCTACTATGACAGTTAGTTATATATGTCATTTCTATATAAACGAGTTCATAATAACCGTAGTTCTTTATGCTAAAATATTCAGTAAAATACTGGGGCCTATGGAAGTTAGTTATATATGTCATTTCTATATAAACGAGTTCATAATAACCGTAGTTCTTTATGCTAAAATATTCAGTAAAATACAGGGGCCTATGGCAGCTCGTTATATCCGTCATTTCGTTATACGCGTATTTTACTGTGTATGTTCGACACAACACGAACTGTCAATATTTACGGGGCCTCGACTCAAGACAGACCATTCACCTTTATCAGTCACTGACCAAAACAACAAGGGGTTCCAGTCGAAGACTGACCATGCTGGTACTTGTGATGCGGAAATATCTCTGCGGTCGAAGGACACCATAACACATAAGATTAAGTATACAGATGAGGCTTATAGTACCTCAAAGTCTGGAGTGTGATTATTGTGTTGTGTTAGGCCGTGGTTTATGCTTGTTTTGCCTTGTGTGTCTATATGGGTTATTGTGCATTGTTGAGACATTGTGATGTCTTGTGAAGCAATATGATGCGTGTGAGATGTCCATTGCCATGCATAATTGTGTACACTGTCCATTATTCGAAGATGCTCTCATCTGAAGATGTCCTCAATCATCAAGGCTCTAATGTATTAAGGGGAGGTGGGGTAGTCTAGTGGTTAAAGCGTTCGCTCGTCACGCCGAAGACCCGGGTTCGAATCCCCACATGGGTACAACGCAATATCATCTTTACGCTGTGACCCACAGGAGTTCCCACAACTTCATGGTGGCCCAGTGGTTATAGCGTTACATGTTAAACCGAAACTCCGGGTTCGGTTCCCTAAAATGTGTAAAGCCCATTTCTTGTGTCCCCCACTGTGACGGTTTTGGAATATTGCTAAAAACGGCGTAAAACCAAACTCAGTCAGTCAGTCAGTCTAATGTATTAATACAAGCATACCTCTTTCAGCATATACCATCAGTATCACAGCGGGAAACACCAGAAATGGGCTTCACACATTTTAGGGAACCGAACTCGGAGTTTCGGTGTGACAAGTAACGCAGTAACGATTTAACCTCTGGGCCACCATGACGTTGTGGGAACCCCTATGGGCCACAGCGTAATGATGATATTGCGTTTATCGTATGTTATATGCGTTTATTATAAATGGTGGCTTTTACACACATTAGGTCTGCTCTCAATGAAACGGTTCAATTTGTACTTTTTGAACGACTCCAAAGAGTATTCAACGTAAACATCATTGTGCACTCATGGACGTAAATGGTCAACGTATTGAAGTCATGAATAACTGTGAAAAACATTGCCCCAGATTCTGGTCGTGTGAGGTAAACACGGCTTATGACTGGCAGTATTCGGTCGGTGTGTAAAACGACCTCCTGTCCCGTTATTCATGTTCTACATGGCCCTACTACACACCTACTACAGAGCGAGAACCGTGTGCTTGTAACGGACAGTGAACGGCGTTGTATTCGTTGTAGTTTTCTGGGCGTTGCAATGTTTTGTTGTGATGAACTGTGAATCGTTAAATCTGCTATGCTGCACTGCGCTGCTCTGGTTCGATTTTGGTTTAGTTGTTATTTAGCGCTGAACTCAGCAATATTCCAGCTACATAGCGGTGGTATATAAATACTCTAGTCTGGACCAGACAATCATAAACCAACAATCAATATGCATTTGGTTGATATAATTATTAAAGCAGTAAAGGGTATTTGTATTTCCTTGTGTGCAACAAGGAAGTTGTTTCTGTCCAGCATTGTTTCCAAATATTATCAGAAAAAAGAGAAACGCGGAGATACCAACCAGGATTATACCTCTAGTTTGTGTTTCTTATGAACACAGAACAGCCATTGAATTTCCTGCTATAGGGCTGTGTGAGGAGGTTGTTCTGGCTGCGCTTGATGGCGGTTTTACGAGCGCCTCTTCCATTATCCGGAAAGAGATTTGTCCCTAAAGTCAGACCTGACAATCCAGTGATAGATATTGTGAACAACGATTGACGTCCTCACTGCACGTCGGGGAACAACAGCGAAGTCTAAATCTAGACCAGACAATCCAATGATAGATCTTGTGAACAACGATCAACGTACTCGTAGAGCGACTGCGCACTAAAACGAAATGAATAATCTGGACCAGACAAACCAGTGATTCTTGTAATGAGCAAGGTCCCACGTCGTGCTCCACGATGATCAGCAAAGTCTCCGAGCCTTACCACTTGACGTCACTGCTTTGAGAAATCGGGAGTGCATGAGTATGTGTGTTTGTTGTTTACGCCGCACTCACTCATATTAAGATATGCTGTATTTAATCGAATCTGGAACAGACAATCCAGTGATTCATATCATGAGCATCGATCACGACAAGCGAGGATTGCTGAAGGTCAATTTCAACGTGGATCTTTATGGTTTGATTGAGTACGCAATTACGGCGATTTTCCAATATTCCAGCAACATCACGACGTGTGACACCAGGAATTGTACTCAGGTGGGGAATCGAACACGTGTCCTCAGGGTTAGGTCCCATACTGCCTTCATCCCAAACTGCCAACAAAAATATTGTAGGCAGCGTGGGAAATGATGTTTTGCCCTGTAGAATAATGGAACAGCCCAATTATCAATGACGAAGGGATGTGTCGTTTGGAGTAAGGTAGTAGTAGTTATTTGCTTTATTTAATGTTGCACGCACAACTAAGGTATTTCGGCGACGGGGTAGTACACTTATAAAGAAATGAGTTTTGACAAGCGACGCTTTAATCGTTTTAATTACTCAGAAAACAAAAATGAGACGCTGTCACATCTGAGCAAATATAAAACATAAGTGCAAACAAATACCCACTCTTGACTACCCTCAAAAACAGTTGATAGGTTTGTTGTTTAACGCCCAACTCAGCAGTCTTCCAGCCATAAATAATCATCGAGTCTGAACCAGACAATCCAGTGATACACAGCATCAGCATCAATCTACACAACTGGGAACCAATGACATGTGTCAGTCCAACGAGTCAGCCCATTCAGCGATCCCATTATTCGCCTCTTACGACAAGCATGGATTGCTGAAGACCAATTCTAACCCGGATCTTTACGGGGCCTCAAAAACCATTTCCTATAAATAGTAAAATAACTGAAAATGGTATGAATGGACCATTGAAAAAAAGTGATGACACCAGGTATTCCAGAGCTAATGAAATGTGTTCACCGCGAAATGGTCGACATTGTTATTAACAGCACCACCTGAAGTCTTTAATCTTATGGGACGAATGGGTGGTGTTGTGCTCATGAGTGATAATGTGCTTGTTGGAAAGGTTTCCGGTCCTTCAAATACATTGATAACAATGCTTCACTTTGAAACTAAGTCAGAATTTATTTGTGATATTCAACGTTAAGGCTGACATTTTGTGCATCACTAGTTTTGCCGGACACATCGGTGACGTCCTTCCCCTCCTCCACAATTATCTCCACGTTGTCCACCGCCCACGGCTGCAGCTCCCCCTGGGCCAGGGTGCCGAAAACCACCGCCCCCAGTAGGCAGAACCCCCCACACACGTAAAACATGTTCCGCCATTCTTCCTGGGTTTTCTGTGAACAGGAGAACAGAACGTGTGAGCTGTACCTTATACAGGAATCTTATGTTATCGTGTAATGAAGGACATGTACATCTTCTAAATGGCACTGAGTATTTATGTATATTGGCAGAATTGATAAAAATTTCATTATGGCGTTATCTGTCCACTTTAAAGGCAACACGGCTTTTCATCTGTTATGACGTAAAGTTTCAACTATATAACGGTAGTCAGTAGCAGATTAACTGTGTCAAGGAAAATCAGGAATGGATCAACGGGGAATAGCACAGCTGTATCAAGGTAAACGAGGAATAGCTCAGCTGTATCAAGGGAAACGAGGAATAGCTCAGCTGTATCAAGGGGAACGAGGAATAGCTCAGCTGTATCAAGGGAAACGAGGAATAGCTCAGCTGTATCAAGGGAAACGAGGAATAGCTCAGCTGTATAAAAAAAACGAGGAATAGCTCAGCTGTATCAAGGGAAACGAGGAATAACTCAGCTGTATAAAAAACCCGAGGAATAGCCCAGCTGTATCAAGGGAAACGAGGAATAGCTCAGCTGTATCAAGGGAAACGAGGAATAGCTCAGCTGTATCAAGAAAAACGAGGAATGGCTCAGCTGCATCAAGGGAAACGAGGAATAGCTCAGCTGTATCAAAGAAAACGAGGAATAGCTCAGCTGTGTCAAGCGAAGTCGGCATCAGTTCACGTATGGTCAAAAGTGGGTCAAAATACAGTTTTGCATTTGCTTTCTAGAACCCGTCTTCAGAAATCATACACTCGCAAACCAACAAGGATTTCTTGTCTGAACAGTTGGTCATAAAGCTATTTGTGTCATAACAAAGCAGACCTGTCTCTTTGATGTGTTTGATTGGTTGTTGGCTCATAAACCACTGATTTTCCTGGTCCTGTCTTGAAATATTTACAGCTGAATGTAGCTGGACTACCGCCGGCTGCGGCATCAAATAACATTCACTCACTTCACTTTATGCATAAATATCCCAACTATCCAGTATATATACCATTCAATATGGCATAAGTTCAATGCCAGAACACGGAGTTATTTGGCTTTAACTTTTTTCGAGTAGTATACAATCCCTCACTTATACTTACATTTGGCGTAAGGGCGCCTGCAAGGAGAGGTGCTATCGTCCCCGGTATTGTTGCTACAGAGTTGGAAATGCCGAACAGTATGCCAGCATGTCTGGAACAGATAATCGGTATCGATATTCAAGTTAAATATCATTCATTTGAAGAATCCGTGATATATGAACAATCGAATTTATGCCACGATGCTCAGCTCACCAAGCAGATGGATATTCAGATCGGTGTTTCTTTCTCAAAGACCTGATTAATACTTTCACAAATCTGTTTCTTATTTACCTATTTCTAATACCTGCTTTTTCGCAAATAATTCAAGTGCATGTTAGCTGTATTATTGAAAGGGTTGAAAGGGCATTGTATCGACATTTACTTATACTAATTTTAAAAAATAAATACTTATTTTATTGATCTTAAAAAGCTCCCCGAATTTAACATATCTTAAACTAATAAAATAATTGTACGGATTAATGATTGATTGCCTTCCGCCGCTCAGTAAGATTATTTGAATACATCCATATATACTAAATACTCTCTGGGCTCGATACCACAAAGCGATCTTAGCGCGGCGACTACCAACTACAGATCAACTTCGTTAATATTGTTTCGCTGTATGCTAAAACCATACACGTATGTAGTGCTGTATCAGATAGCAAAATTGAAATCACCCCACGTTGAGCTTGCTTACCTTGGAGCGAAGTCGACACTGTTGACAATGTACCCAGCAGATGACATTCCTAGAAACCACAGTGCTATTGTTATCATGGCAACGGCGTAATATCGATGTTCCTCGTCCACAAACCCTGCTCCTATCAGAAACGCACCTGTTCCTATAAACGCTGAAGATACAACAAAGGGACAATATGATTCTCACATTGTGAAAACAAATATCAACGAACTTAATCATAAAAAATATTTTGATTTCCTCATTTAAAGTCGATAATGAAGTCAGCATCTGAGTGTGTAAGAAGGTATGAATATTTCATTTTGACCACAACTTACATACTGTCTGGAAGATCCTCCGGGTTGCCGTAGTACTGAGGTATTTCCTTGACCGGAGGTAGTCGGCTACCTGACCAGTGACCATTCCGGACACTGTCTGGCTGGCAAAGGCGACAGAAGACAGAAGTCCGTTCTGGAAGGAGAGTACCAGCTATTCATTGCATTCGTCACGCCCCTTTCCGCAATCTTTAAGAAGACTCGTCCCTCTCCCGATACATGTTACGTGCGAAAATACTAAAATCCAATCAGAACCCGCGTAGGGATTAGGGTAATTTGATAAAAATAGTTTTTAAAGTACTTAAATCGCTTTTGGCATTATGTCATTGTTTAGAAAATCTATCTTGAAGCTTTTCTTAGGATAGGACCATAAAACGTTAGCTATTCAAAGGCACGCACGTGCGTTTGTTTACATAACGGCTGTCATGTTTCCAATGAAGTATTTTCTTTGACAAGTTTCCGGGGTGTAGATTTCACGTGCTCTTTTAAACATTTTTAGGTAATGTAATTATCAACAGCTGACAGTTTCACAACAATATACCTCCATATAACTAATCAACTTTACAGTTAAACATGGTACACACATTTCATTTCACTGGGCATATTTGAGTTAGGTGTAGGCTCAGTCCTTCGCATCTTTTTCAGCGTATTCATATGAATTCGGAAAAAAATTCATTATCATTTTTTAAAACACGTTAATATTTTTTAAACACAGCAATTTTCAGTAATGTTTATCACTGTTGGAATTAAACAGAAATAGAGGAGTCTATACGCCAATATGGAATCCTCCCAGAGGGACACGAGTCGCTGTTCGGCTTGTCCCCGAATAGAATTTTTATTGTGTACTTTTGCATATATTTATTTATAGGATGGCCCTTTGGTGACGCATGTCATGATGGAAGCAAGAAATTCCAAAGCTATTTTAAGCGTGCCAAGGTTGTTGGACAGAATCTCAAATTTGAGGTTGATTTTGTTGACGGTGATGTACTGTTGGACGGTGCAGTGATGGTTGTAAACCAGGTGAAGTCATTCACCATGTCTGCCCAGAGTCGGTCATTTGTGGAGAAGCTTTCTGAGAAACCACTGCATCGTGTGTACATGCAGTGTGTGGAACAGAACAACCGACTCCTTCGCCTGGTCTTAAATGTGAAACTGTGGGCTTTCTTTTTGCTGTCCAAGACCAGTCACTTCCCACTCGAAATCGCCTACATGTGATTCTTAAAGAAAATATTTGCATGAAATGTCGATTGTGCAATGAATTTACAGAGATGCCCTTCTTTGGCACAAACAACATATCTTAAACGACATGATGGCATGGCTCGTTTCCTTTACTATCTTCTCCGCCATGCCTGTGGCTTTGAATCCGAGGTCCATCCTTGGTACGACCCTGAACATGTCATAGAAAATGCTGCTTTCAAACTTCTGTGGAATAGGCCCAGCCTCAGAAGAATTCCAGCCAACAAACCTGATCTTGTCCACTTTGATAAAGCCAATGAATTTATTTATATCATTGAATTTTCTGTCCTTTTTGACAGCACCGTGATTGGCTAAATATGCAGACCTCGCCTTTGAAATGTCTCGTTTGCATCTCAAGCACACTATCGTCAGACTACCTATTGTTCTCGGTGCCCTTGGTTTGGTACCTCCTGATCTCGGCGCAGATCAGGAGAGTGCCCGGGTTCTCCACCGGGAGCACAGCCCTTCTGACACTCTGGGTAATGCAGAAGGCTGCAGTGTTGGGAAGTCTACATATTCTCCGGAAAATTCTTGGTGGGTTCAACTGGGCAGCGTTTCCTGGGAGAAGTCCCATTCGCTGTCTGGGCTGCGTGTGGATGGGGCAAGGGCTCTGAGGTGTGCTGACTGTGCCAGGATAACCTGAACCCTCTCTGCTGCATGTTTATCTCAATCTGTAAAAAATAATAATGCATTTGTTTAAGCCCCTAATGTCCAACCATTGCTGCTCAGTTGCGCTGTGCAGTATAGAGAAGAAACCAGTAGGTAGCTAGGAAAAGATGAGCTTTTAGTTGGCTCCTAGGTGCTTCCAGGGAAGATACTGAACTCAGTTCAACTGGCAGAGATGTTTATGTTGCTGGGATTTTCAGGCTGCCTCTCTTCTCAGACCTCAAGACACGATGATGTCTTTGAGGTAAGCTGGTGAATTGATGTCATAGAGGGTTGAGTAGGTGATGCAAAGAATTTTGTATTTGTAATCACCTCTTTCCTGGGACCAAAGCATAGGGGTGATGTGTTCCTGACATTTGGTCCTGGTAATGATCCTGGCAACTCTGTTTTGTACAAGCTGTATCACAATATCACGGCGCAGGACACCAGAATGGGCTCCACACATTATACCCATGTGGGGAATCGATCCCGGGTCTTCGGCGTTACGAGCAAACGCTTTAACCACAAAGTTACCCCGCCGCCCCCACGTGATAAGGTGACAAGTTTGGGACGCTGAGGCCAGTTCTTACCCGGGTGTTTACGGTCACGAGGGAAATATAATACTAGGTAAAGCGCAAACACACATACCTCCTCAATGCTGAAGTCCAACACTTCTTTAAGATATATAGGGATGTTAGTTGTCATGGTGTATATTATCCAGTTAACACATCCGTGTCCAGTAATAAACGCCCAAGATGCCGATGACGTCATCATGGCTTTCAACGGTGTTCGATGTTTCTGTATAGAAACGAAAATATTTGTAAACTACTTTCTTGATTTAAAGAAATAAGGAAAGGGTATTCGTATGTATAAGAAAGAAACCTGAAATGTGAAGAAACACGTAGGAATTACACTGAAAATTTGAAAGCAAGTTTTACACATTTGAACTTTAGACACGACGACGTCAAAACAATGACTTCTTTGATAGACATTTAGAAGATGGGGGAAATGAAAACATGGAACATTTATTAATAACAGGTTTTTGTTTTCAGTAAAAGCTACAGAATGCTTTAGTATTCATACGAGTTGATTCCGACTATATTAAGAGGAAGTGTACATGAGTGACTAACAAATAGTGTTTATTAGGGCTAGCTGAAATGATCAATAATTGGAAATAGGAATAAATATTCATCATTATGGAGATGAAAAGTAAGTTATCGATAATATTTTCTGACAGAAACAAGTTTTAAGTTTCTCATACAACATAAAACATGGTCTGCTTCGAAATTATGTTCAGGACACTGTTTGTTTAGTAATCAATGCAAAAACATGTCACCGCTCACATGTGATGTGAAATATATTCATTTCTTTCAGACATTTTTGACGTTTTCGCTTAAAGTTTCTTCTCCGATATTTATTGAAAATCGATCGATATTTAGTTAACGGTTATCGATGACTATGATCTATATCGATAACTAGCCCAAGTGTTGATACCAGATGGTGAGCATATCCTGCCTCACTGGTGTCGTCCGTCAGTAACACTTGCAATTAATTGAGTGAGTGAGAGAGATTAGTTTATATGCCGCTTTTAGCAATGTTTCAGCAATATCACGGCGGGGGACACCAGAAATGGACTTCACACATTATACCCATGTGGGGAATCGAACCCGGGTGTTCGGCGTGACGAGCGAACGCTTTAACCACTAGGCTACCCCAACGCCCCTGCAATGAAGTTTCAGAGATACTTTGCTAACCTTTCGGAATCATAATTTTGTTTTCTGACTCTTGTTGCCTTGTAGTGTAACGCCGCTCTCACCAATGTTTTAGCTATGGGGTGGCGGTTTGTAAATAATCGAGTCTATTCGGATTTTACTAACAATCTCAGTCCATTAAATTTAAGTGTAATGGTATAAATGGCCTCAAGAATACAGATATATATGTTCCAGTACCTGTCCTGTGTCTCCGATGCTGTTGATGATGTAGTTTTTCTCCGCTGTGGAGATGCGTGGATGCTGTGCTGGTGAGCTGGCCACCGTATAATACCACAACAAGCACCAGAACACCGATATAGCACCTGCAGATATGGGTCAGATATTGGTCAGACCAACCATCAATACCTTATCGGTATGATCTCATTAGAATGAGTGAGTGAGTTTAGTTTTACTCCGCTCTTAGCACTATACCAGCTATATGGTGGCGGTGTGTAAATAATCGAGTCTGGACCAGACAATCCAGTGATCAACAACGCGAACATCGAGAAGGAGAAAGGCATATTCTTGTAAATACTTGACACAGTATAAAATTACAGTGAAATCCTGTTACACTTCCCGAACTAAACAATCTCGTTTGAATATATCCCGACGTTTCAACAGTTAGGAATGTAAGGCGTCTGCAGGGTAACTTTTCCATTTCAAATAAGTCCATGGTAGAGCACGGGTGTTCAGATTCGGTGTTTCTGTTTTACTTGAATTATATAAAAAAAAAACACAATTAAGTATGCTCAACAAAAAGAGATAAGGACATTCCAATTTTCAATATTAAAATATTTAATAGTTCATATCATGATCCAAATAATTCTTAGATATTTAATATTTGGGTGTCCTTAACTTATTTTGTTGGGTATATTTAACGGACAGTTAATTGCCAAATAATTTACCAGTAATGTAGAACATTGACCCCCATCCATTATCAAATCCATAAACACACAGCAGTCCTGATATGGCAAATGTAGCTATACCACCAAACATTGTACCTGGAAGGGTGAAGAAAACTTAAATGTTGTTTTACTCCGCAGTCAATAAAGATAAACACGCGAATGAGTGAGTGAGTTTGGTTTTACGCCACTTTTAGCAACATTCAATCAATATCACGGCGGGGGACACCAGAAATGGGTTTCACACATCGTACCCATGTGGGAATTGAACCCGGGCCTTCGGCGTGTCGAGCGAACGTTTTAGCCACAAGGCTACCCCACCGCCCCTCACACCTGAATGAACAGCAAGCCGCGTTTCAGGAATGGGCTGATCAATCGTTTGGAGTCATGTTGCTACTCTATCCTCGACTGTCTTTTACGGCTCCAATGCCAAAGGAGAACATTTACAACAATACGTACATGTATTTCAACATTGTTTTGAAGAGTTCTTTACCTTTGACCAGGTAACGTTATTACCAGTAGTTGACCTGCATGACACTACAGAGGACTGAGGCAAGGAATTGCAATATCTCCAGTAGTGTCAAGCAAAGATGAAAAGAGATTTGAAATCGGATTGCCAAAATTATTTCATCATCTCTAACACGAACCAGATCGAGAAGTCTGTGTTCGAATAAGAGAAGTACATTTTGAAGTTACTCCAAATAAAGATTTCCCCACATAGAATGTAAACTCCGATATCTAAGCCAGGGACTGTTATTTAGCAATATTTGAATAAATGAAATTATCAGATAAAATATCATTTCTCATTTTATAGAAACAAAAGAAGGTAAATGTACATTCTCAGTTACTATTATACATTCCATACACTGTTTTCTTAGTTGACAGGGTGACATATGCTTTAGAATTTGGCTAGTTGTCTTGAAAGTAGTACAAATTTGACCATTACCTGAATAGCATATCGCTGTTAGTTTGGTTCTCTCCAGGGGCGGCGCCCATCTACCCCACATTGCCTGTGACGCCGGGAAGTACACCGCCTGGAGAACCAGAGACCATCACCTTAACGTTCTTTGACGGCCAGCGTATCAGCCCGTTAAGGCATATTTACGATAAGCATGAGTATACGAATGTAAGCAAGAACACGCAACAGCCCGAGTAACACCAGTAACATCATGTACTCACTTTATGCTTTTTTAACAAATTCCCAGAATGTTTTAACATCTCCATCCCACCCAGTTACCCAGCATCTTCTCCTGTATTACACAACGCTGGCACGAGTTGTTCCATTGGAATAGTATGTTTGTCTCATTTTCTAAACTTAAGAAAATAGTTTCCTTTACAACACCTTAAAATTGTATATGGTTGTCACGATTAAATATACTATGGTTGAATTATCACACGTTGTCTATAACACTTGTGGACAACGTCAAATATCATTGTTCATCCAAGTGAATGTTCATTTATAAAACACAAGATTTGTACCATATTATTGTGGACCAAGCTTATGTTCATTCATAAAACACAAGATTTGTACCATATTATTGTGGACCAAGCTTATGTTCATTTATAAAACACAAGATTTGTACCATATTGTTGTGGACCAAGCTTATGTTCATTTATAAAACACAAGATTTGTACCATATTGTTGTGGACCAAGCTTATGTTCATTTATAAAACACAAGATTTGTACCATATTATTGTGGACCAAGCTTATGTTCATTCATAAAACACAAGATTTGTACCATATTATTGTGGACCAAGCTTATGTTCATTCATAAACACAATATTTGTATCATAATATTGTGGACTACGTGTATGTTCATTCATAAAATCCGAGATGTTTACCATAGTACTGCGCACTAACCTATGTTCATTTACAAACCAGGAAGTTTTTACCATTATGACTTCGTCATTGAAAGAAATTATGCCTTCGGAAACATAGTGCAGAGGCATCTAGACAGAAAGATAGTCTCTAAAATTCGAAATGACTCTATCTTCCAGCTTGGTTCCTTGTGTGTTCCATCAATGTTATCTTTCACGTGTGTGTGTGGGGGGGGGGCGTGCGTTCATGCGTGTGCGTATATGTATACCTGGGACACCCCTAGAAGCACTCGGAGTACATAGGCAATATAGATGGACGTCCGGGCGCCTATTGGTAGAAGCAGTGAGCTGATCGAACCAATCAGCATCCCGATAAACATGACGTTCTTCCCACCATATTTCTTGGCCAAGATTCCAGATGGAATTTGTGTGACGAAGTAACCATAGAAATAAGAACTGAGGAGTCCAGCCTGTTCCGCTTTGGACCAGAAAAACTCAGCAGTCTGAGAAAAAAAGGCAGATAAGATGTTGAAAAAGTCAAGTTGAAAAATTGGCTACAGTTGTTTTAAGGTATGGGCATTAATTGCGACGGCAATATTTATTTTTATTACGAAACTAACCGATTTCTACAGCTACCTGACTCGATGTTTTGGGAATTCTCCTTTTAATAATGTCAAATCCAGGTGAACGAAAAGGTTGTTTGGCACAAACAGTCTTTATTGAAATTTAACGAAGGCAAAGTCACAAATAATTTCAGAATTATTGTTTCTTGAACTAAAGGAACATCCACTTCTGCATGATATTCAACCAATTAAAATGTTCATTCAATAACAATAATGGTGAACCTCTAAACACAGGAATCAAAATTGCCAATTAAATCACTTAAAATCAAAACACTTTTAAGATTTATAAATGAAATCCCATCTATTAATTGATATTTTATTTTCTATATTTCATTAAATAATTGCGCTTTCATTTTGTAATCGACACATTTACTACATTCAAGGTCAGCCAAAATGTGTTAATGTGTTATATGAATGACGCACTGACGCACTACACCTCAAGTACAGCGTCACAATGACGCAGTTATTTACCTCAGGTACTGGTTCTGTTGTTTTGGTGTTGTTGATGTTGTTCTCTGTGTTGTTGATGTTGTTCTCTGTGTTGTTTACCATGCACACAATGGCCACACTCAAGTTGCTCCTGTTAGCTTCAAGTATGATTCCTTGGGAAACACCCCATGAATGCCAATAGCATTCTTTGTGAAAAGAAGGAGGACTCTGAAACGAATGTCAAGTTCCACCATACAGATTGACATGTATTTATAATCTTTCCTTGGCGTGTGTGTGTGGAAAGAATAAGCGGTAAAATCAACCAAAAGCTTACTTTTTAAGAGTGAAACGTAAATACTAGTATGATGTCTTAAGCATACAAGAGCGGAAGGTCGCGGGTTCGATCCCCGACCCCGTCATATCAAAAGACGTTAAAATATGGTACTTGTTGGTCCCTGCCTGGCGCTCGGCATTAATGGGTACAACAAGGACTGGTCGACTCGGAGTCAGTATAATGTGTCTGGGTGGGGTATTCATGCTTCACTGCGGCATGGTATCTCAGTGGGCTAGCACTATAAAACCAGCTTAAGTCTGGGCTAGTACAAGCAGCCGCACATACACATACACACGCATGCATGCACGTCGTCATATGAGCGAAATATTCTCAAGCACGACGTTAAAACCAATTTCACCTCACCTCACCTTAAGCATACAATAATCAACACCATTGTCACTGAGTGATATGACGACCATGTTATTCGACTATAATACAATATAATCTCGGAAGTATATTTATGTATTCCTCAATGGCACTGTAATTTTCAGAGTATAAAGCCACAATAACTCGGTGCGCCTAGTGGCTACTTGTCGTGTATACTCCCCAGGGAGTTGATACTGATTAAACGATGTGCCGTTGAGATTGACATCCAATGTTCGAGAAAAAAAATACCAGCGCCTTGAGCATGTACGAGTTGCGTGGATAAGTGCACTATATAAATATCCTATAAAAGTATAATCATGAAGATTGAAGAGAACATATATATAATGATAATATATGAAACATTTGTCCAACAAGTTAAAATGTTCGCTAATCTTCTGTTGATGATAGGATTTTTTCATAAAACACAGCTCTGTGTCAGACATTAAGTATAAACATTACTGTTGACAGGTGTTTATTTGCAACTTGTTAGAGCATCTGACATCTTGCAATGTCAAATTATTGAGTGTCCTTCAAGCTGATAAGTAGAAAAGCGTTTAGTGCAATCGGATCAAGTTCAACTGTATTTGTGAACGTGCTAATATTGTGTGTGTGTGCGTGCGTGTGTGCGTGTGTGTGACGTTTCATGGTTCCTTCAGAACAGCATCGAAACACTTTGATAACGTCAAAAGCAAAAACATTAGCAACAATACAGTGATATGTGCAGTTTGATTGCTGTTGTAAAGGGCGCTTGACTGGTATCGACCATATACGTGAAGATGAATACCTAATGCATTAAGTCAACTGGAATACATTGCAACTTTACAACGTCACTGGGTCAGCTCACACAAAGCGATCATAGTTCTAAGATTGTGAAAACACTTTTATGATCATAAGTAAGATAGAGAAGCTTCTGGGTTTGACTCCGAGAAAGGTATGTCAACGCTGCACTCAGCAATATTCCAGCTATTCGTCTGAAAATACCTGAGCCTGGACCAGACAATCTGGTGATCAACAGTATAAACATCGATCTAGGCCATCGTGACGTATGTCAACCAAGTCAGCGAGCCTGACCACCCGATCCCGTTCGTCGCCTCTTACAACAAACATAGGTTGCTGAAGATCAATTCTACCCGGATCTTCACGGGAGGAGATATACCCGGATCTTCACGGGTCCAATGGTGAGGAAAGATGACATCACTTACTGTGAGAATGGTCGTCGTCAGTACCTTTTTTGTTTTCCACATGATCCGTTAACGGCGTCCTTTGCGTCCATGATGTTCCTTTCAAACTGGGCACCTCGCACACTGTGGATATTCTGGGATGTAAATGATGGAGAATTTTCCGTTACAAGGCCACCATCACACAGTAACAGTTGGACATGGCTCACAATTACAGAGCGACCACTCAAGATATCAATATTTAGAATACGAGAGTATATATATATATATTATATGCTTTTATTAGTTTCAGCGGTACTTGTTCTTGATATAGAAGTGACCGCCTCCGTGGTGTAGTGGTTAGAGCGTCCGCCCGGACAGCGGAAAGTCACGGGTTCGATCCCCGGTCGAATGATACCAAAAGGCGTTAAAATATGGTACTTGTTGGTCCCTGCGTGGCGCTCGGCATTAATAGGTACAACAAGGACTGGTCGGCTCGGAGTCAGTATAATGTGTCTGAGTGGGGTATTCATGCTTAGGGGCGGTGGGGTAGCCTAATGGTTAAAGCGTTGGCTCGTCACGCTGAAGACCCGGGTTCGAATCCCCACATGGGTACAATGTGTGAAGCCCATTTCTGGTGTCCCCCGCCGTGATGTTGCTGGAATGTTGCTAAAAGCGGCGTAAAACCAAACCTCAGTCAGTCAGTATTCATGCTTAACTGCGGCATAATATCTCAGTGAGCTAGCACTGTGAAACCAGCTAAAGTCTGGGCTAGTACAAGCAGCCGCACCTACACATACACACATGCACATCGTCATATGAGCGAAATATTCTTAAGTGCGACGTTAAACCTCATTTCACCGCACCTTGATACAGAAGTAATTAGTAGACTAAAGAAACATGCCATTCAACAGACTGTGCAGCCAAATCTTAAACGTCATCTACCATCAATGAGTGGTTTCAGATCAGGGTGCTCACCTCTGATTAAGACGGACACTGGATTTGTAGCCCTTTACGTCAAATTTCTTGTGAGCAGCTGCGAACAAGAACAGTAAGCAGTGAGTGAATGAGTTTAGTTTTACGCCGCACTCAGCAATAGTCCAGCTATATGTCGGCGGTCTGTAAATAATCGAGTCTGGGCCAGACAAGCCAGTGATCAACAGCATGTGCATTCATCTGCACAACTGGTAACCGATGACATGTGTCAATCAAGTCAGCGAGCCTGACCACCCCATCCTGTTAGTCGCCTCTTACGACAAGCATGGGTTACTGAAGGTACATTCTAACCCGGACTTTCACGGGTTAGAACCGTAAGCAAACCTTTTAGCATTCTGGTGTTCACTGAATCTGTCCGCCGTCTCTCAAATACTCGTTAGAGTGAGTGAGTGATTGATTTGGGTTTAACGCCACAACGTTCAGGTTTTGTCATGGCGTGTCAGCGTCATGTGGCATATCCTCCCGGCGTTATGGTGGCGTTTACGTTTACCACGTTAGCGAAACTCACGTACACGGATATGGTGCTGACAAACTTCGAACATAATCGGGGCAATGCTGGATTCGAACCTGTATTCCTACCCAAGGGACGCAACTCTGCACAGCGAATTGCGGCGCCTGAGGCATAATGGACGTATTTGTATGTAACTTATACTTGCATTTAAAGTATTAAACAGGTTTGATTTTTTTCAGTTATATCAACAGTGCTTTAGAAACAAACGTTTTAGTAACCGAATAAAAATGTTCTTGTCTTTATGTGTGATGTAGCATGATAAGACAGTAGGCTGAAATCAATTACAAATTACCTTTCTCTTCCCCGGATGTACCAAGACCAAATTTGCACCTAGATATAATATTTTGTCCCGCAGGAATTATCAAGTTCGGGAACGTGGCGTAAGGTTCAGGCGTGAGCGGTGAAAGTACACTAGGCGTTCCTGTAAGAAGCTCTTTTATAGGGGAAAACCCAACTGGTGTAGTGTATGTCAATGTTATGGTTCATTAGTGGCTAGATTCTTCTGCTGACTCATTTGATTAAATTATGCCTGGTCAGGTGCTGCATTAGTCAGTGTGACGTTTTGGCCACATATGCTGATGACGTCACAAAAAATAAGAAATCCGGCGCAATGACCTACTTCGACTTCCTGTGTTCTCCGGTAAACATTTGATTTGCCATATGTTTACTAGTGCTGGTATTTGCATACATCATGCGATACGATACATCACAATGCTAAAATTTTAGTCACGACGATATATTGCCAAAGTATCGTGCACTGAAGCTGCGATACCATACGAATCCCGATATAAGGGTGACGATACGATACTCATCACGATACTAAAATCCTTAATTCTAACACCAACTATAAAACACCTGAATATCAAAACAAAACCATTTTAAAGTATTTCGTTAAATTCCGCCAGCCTTTTGCAATGTTCATTCGGAAACGAGATAATTAAGTTTCTACGCGGACTTTGTGAATGATAATAACATGTGAGCGCTGTCTGACACAGTTCTTGACGCAAGAATTTCCGAGAAAACGTTTACTTTTGAAGGGAAAATATGTAAACAATATTTTAATCATCAAACAAAAGTGACTCTTCTTTTCTTGACAGATATCGCGATTCGGCAATATTCAAAGTGAAACATCGATGTATCGTTGCCCATTTGAAGTATCGTATCGGGATATACGACAATGTAAAACTTTGTATCGATTTACTGTATCGGCGGCCCATGGATCGATGTATCGATGCGTATCGATAAATCGTCACACCACTAATATTTACGACCGGTGGTACCTCTGGGACGGTGTTCAGTCACCTTTTCACGAACACCTGGTATCAACCATATTTAGTATTGATTCATAAACACTCATGATATCCTCCGATATTAGAAGATGTTTCTTCAGAACATGGAATTATTATTATTATTATTAAAATGGTTTTATGGCCCTCCTCCCAAAACACTTTCCCGTTGCTTGTGGATGGGGAATTTAGTTTCATATACAATCATGAACAATTAAGTAAATAATCCCCATATAAAGCACAACCCACACCTGTGAAGTAGAGCCATCATTGACCGCATCCAACTGATATTTATTTTTGAGATTCCAAGCACATAAATTAAATGGGTTGTCATACTGTGAAAGCCGCAGAATTGTGCACATTTACTAAAACGTGGGTGGAGGATGGGGGTAGATATTTTATCGCTTTATTCGTAAATTCCACAGTGTAGGGAACGGGGCATAGATGTCCTTCCCACTTGAAACGTCATCTAG